CCCCTGTTAAAATGTCAAGTGTCTGTGACCTATCGACAAATGAGCCACACAAAATGCAATGGGACGCTACATACAAAGCTTGACATTATTCTCAAGGTTTTAAAAGGGAAAAATGCTAGAGGAATAGTGCCACCTCAAATTCCTCGTATGCCCAGAAATTTTAGGGACCATTTTAGGGAAAATAATGAGTGAGTAAAATGGGAGCATTTAAGAGGAAGAGGAACAAGCAAAATTTTTCCACTCTCTCCCACTTTAGTGGATGTCTCTGGCTAGAAGAGACAGCTTCCCTGTTGGCAAAAGGGGCTTTGATTAGGATCTAAGCAGATGTGATTACATGATCTAATTTTTACCTTGTAATTCTGGTGGTACTGGAACTCCATTTAAATAGTGGAAAAACATTGCAGAGCACCTCAAAAAGGGCATGATCCCAGCTTTTATACTTCTCCACAGATGCCATCCAGAGGAAATTTCTGTCAAGGCACTACAAAATAAATTCAGATGATTTTTTTTTCAAAAAGAGAGAAAGAGAGAGAGAGAGAGAAAGAACCAAAGTAAAATTTCATTTTAAAACCCTCTGCTGTACACCCTAAATCTTTTAATTTATTTCATTCTATTAAACAGGTGATCTGGTATGAAAAAACATCCTTTACTGTTCCTCATCAAAGTCAAAGCACTGATTTTGACTCTGAGGAGGATTTTACTTGCCTTTTTAAGGCCCAGGCCATAGCAAGGCAAAATTTACCACTTTAAGAAACTCATAGGACAGACAGGCTGATTGAATGAACTACAACACTGCTTTCACATCAAAAAGATTCAAGATAACACAATGACGAAATGCTTCCATTCCCTGATGGAAGTTTATAGGGTTTATAAAAGACTAATTGCAGTTACTTATGTATTTTGTGAGATTTGAATAGAAAATCATTTAAATCATTTTATGTTTGTTTTTCTACATTTTTTAAAAGAAAAGAATTTGGAAATGTTTTGCTTGCATGTAATATTCCTCATATTTTTCTTCAAATTCTTTTTACATGGCATGCCTTAAATTTCTTTTTATTCCTTGTGCATCGCATCTTTATCTCAAGGGACTAAATTTCCTATTTATTTGTCTTGACCAGAGCTTCTGCTGTGACCAGAGTTCCTTTATTTAAAAATTAAATATTATTGTGCTTGTAAATAGCTTTTGATCCTCCTCCTGTGAATTCATGGCAAGAAAATATCTTAGTTTTGGCCCTGCCTTTGGCCATTAAACAATCCGTTACTCTATACATTTATCTCAGAGAACAGAACTGAAGGAGAGTGAGGCATGGAATGGCTAGACCAGAGACAATTTACTGGCTTACCTTCCTGCATACTGGCCTAGGCATTTATGCAAAGCAAGTACTGCTTCTTCTTCACCAGTATGATTTTCTTGGTCCATGCCATTTTCTTCTGAAAAACCAAGCAATTCAAATTCTAAACCTAGCTGTACTGAATGCCAATATGGAGCATAAAACTCAAGAAATCTGTGCAGCTTGACAGCTTACCCCTGCTTAATACAATGTTATCATAAGAAATCTAAACCTAGCTGTACTGAATGCCAATATGGAGCATAAAACTCAAGAAATCTGTGCAGCTTGACAGCTTACCCCTGCTTAATACAATGTTATCAGTGAAACGTTTTACTGGTTCCATGTCTTCACAAAGCACAACTTCAATTACACGTCTTACGCATAAACACACATTGGCCCTGATCTAGAGCCATCTTCATCTTCATGCCCTTTGTGTTCTCCTCCTGAGTGTCATGTTTCCTTCTGCCAACTGGAGTCCCTCTCCTTGTTTGGGCCTGGACTGCAGTGAAACGTTTTACTGGTTCCATGTCTTTTGCTTCACAAACCACAACGTCAATTACACGTCTTACATAATGGCAGGATATTCACATGACACTCAGAGGTGCAAGCAGTTGTGCCTTTGCAAACCTCACACAAGGAGGCATCTGATGGCTCCTCGGGTGAGTTTCTCTAAGCTAAGATAGTCACTGATTGTCTGCAGAGCACCAGTGGCTGTCAGCCAGTTCTTTGGACACCACAACAGTCCAATCCCATACTTTCTAATGATCTAGTCCAATGATCCCACATAACTATACTGGCATGGTTTTTTCAATCCACCAGCATTTTACTGAATCTTGGTCTCAATTTCCTTCCTGGGTACAAAAAAACTGTAAGTGGAAGTGAGCTGCATTCATCCATAGTATCTACAAGAAACAGACTGGACCATGATTTCTATTTCCCCCCAGAACACTGCTTATTACATCAATCTCAAGGACAGAATAGAGGATTCATGCAGCATTTTCTTCAACTGGTAAATCAACTTTTTTTTGCTTAAAGTAAAAAAAAAGGCATGTTTCATTATTTAAAAGATAAAACAACACAGTGACATATTGCATTGTTTTGCCTCTTAAATAATCTAACACACAATTCTGACCATACTCTTCACCTTTCCTTCCCTTCCCACCTTACCTGTACTCACATATCTACATAAGAAATACATTACCTGTAGATGAAGTAAGCATTATTTGTACAATATGTGCCATAGTGACAAGATGGAAGATATGAAGATCGCCAGTACCAAGGCTAACTCCTGAAAAGTCCTGACAGTGCAGAGCAGGGAAAGAGAGCACCAGGCACACCTGCAGATGGGGGGGAGAACAGATACACAAAATAACAATTACTTTTTTTTAATCAACCCCGTTTCCACCCACATTTGGCCAAATGCTGCAATGTTGCCATTCCCAATACCTTGCATAAAGCAACAGATGGGGTCAACATTGAATATAAGGGACCAGATACCCTGTTTTCCCGAAAATAAGCCCTAGCATGATTTTTCAGGATGCTCGTAATATAAGCCCTACCCCAAAAATAAGCCCCAGTTAAGTGAAACCCCGCCCTCCATCACTGTGTAGCAACCAAACGAAGATGACATGATTGTATTTGAATAAATGTAGATTGTTATACATGAAAAAATAAAACATCCCCTGAAAATAAGCCCTAATGCGTTTTTAGATCAAAAATTAATATAAGACCCTGACTTATTTTTGGGGAAACACGGTACTTCATTAGACAAAAACAAAGAAACGAAATCTCACACACTTATGATTCTGCACTCACGCTACCCTTGTAATCCTCAAACTCAGGACTGGGGAATGACATTTAAAAAAATCACTTGCTAAGCATATTTCTAGTATTGTTATACTTTTTTTTCTAAAACTTAAGTATGGCATATGCCACTGCAGTATTGTTGTAAGTGCTTAGGTACTTACCAGTAGATGAAACATGTCGATATCAAGAATGCATGCAGAATTCCCATTTTTTTCATTAGGCACCAATGCTGTATATTTAACACAAAACAATGTTTACTGATAGGGGGAAAATTAATATTTTATGTTTAATTTCTGAAATGTTCACAAGCTTATCATGTAAATTATCTAAGACATCTAAACTCTTTACAGCATTAAATATTGTATTTCAAGGATGTAAGCCACCTTAGGTTCTTTTTAAGGAGAAAGGTGGGGTAAAAATATTTAAAATAAACAAAAAATAAAATAAACTTTAGTATGCCTTTGAAGGATAAACATGTTCAAATATGGACCACAGTTACCATGAAATTAATTGCAGAGTTCCATAGTTCAGCAGCAAAGTATAATGTTTTGCATAAGAAAGTTCTCAGTTTTACCTCCACTGTCATCACTATCTTTCACAGGGTAATTATTTGAATTCTAAGCAATGGCCATTCAAGGAAACCTTACCAGAATGTGTGATAGGTAAAGAACTATTTAAGCCTTTGGACTGCAGCTTTCATCAAAATGTTTTATGTAACAAGAGCTGTCTTCTATGTGATACCTTCTGCTGGTTGGACAACAACCCCTACCATTCCTAATAATTAGTCCTGCTGATTAGGGCTGATGGGAGTTGGAGTCCAAAGTATCTTAAGATCAACAAGTTGAGATAGGACTAATTAAAAGCTCATTCTTCTAAAGAAAGCATACTGGGCACAGTGTGCAATAAATAATCACTTTCTATAATCCCATGTTCCTTTAGCACATGGACCAGAGAACTGCAGTTTTATGAAACAGAAGAGCGGATTTCTCTACTCTATCACCTATTGCTATTTTAAGAACATGAATCCTTGTACATGAATCCTCCTGTCTTATTTTGCAAATGATGGTTAATTTCCAAATTACTGTGGATGCCAAAAATCTATTTTAGTTTCATTAAAAAGTTACATTCATACATATCATAAATACTGGCACTCCCAAGCCAACTACACCAGAGCACAGGTTGCTGTCCTCTGAAAATGCCGGCCACAGAGACTGGCGAAACGTCAGGAAGAACAACCTTCAGAACACGGCCAAAGAGCCCGAACAACTCAGAACAACCATTAGATCCTGGCCGTGAAAGCCTTCGTGAATTTATTACATTCTGTTAACCACATAAATCCTACCAAGTACTGGCAACCTCATGGAAGGCATATATCAAAATAAGGTCTTCTTGTTTGGTCTTCTCAGATACAACTACATTGTAACAATAGCCTACAATCAACTTTAATTCTCTAGGGCAAACATTGTGATGATAACAGCTACCACATGCTCAACTGAAAAATATAATTAAGGCACACATACCCATTGTGTTCTTAAAGGGCTAACCCCAGTCTTATATGCCCACTATTGTACTCTCTTAAAACAGATAATGCAAACAGTACATTTTGTTCGCAGAAGCATTATTTTGTCTGCGACACTGCACTAAATAAAAACCTGAGAGGAGATCCAAAAGGTTACTTTAAAATGCATAAGCACACATCCACCATGGTCCCTCCCTCACAATTCTGTAATTGAGAATAATTATCACAAACTTGAACTTACATGATAAAAGCATACAAAAGTGACCCTGTACTATTGGAAGTGAAGAAACTGTCCAGTGGGCTGCAGCAAATCTAGTTAACGAAGTAAGGCAGTCATCCTAAAGCAGAACACAGATTATCATTACAGAAATGAATTTTTTAAAAAACAAAACAAAAAAACACAAATCTGATTTCTTTATGTTTTAAAGAAAGCCAAATGCTGTAGGAAATCCCTTTGTCAAACAGAAATTCTGGAGGTCATAAATGTGAACAGATAATGTGAGAGGTCTCTCATGTAACCTTGAGTAAATAGTGCCATAAAACGGTCACTTTGCTGTTCTCTAGCATCACATAGGGCTCAAAGTAAAAGTTACATTTATGACTTCAGCAGATGTGCCTATGCTTCCGGGGTTCAGACAATATTGGTTGTTACATCATACCTGTCTACAAGACAAGTGACCAAATAATGGTTTGTCTTCATCAGCTAAAATTCGTTCTGCAGAAGGAGAAAAAAACAACAGTTACTGTATGAGACCAAAAGATTTCGTGATTCCCCCTCTCCTGAGCAAAATATGTTAACTGACATGCGGTTACCTATTGTTTGTATTGTGTATGCACAACTGCCCCAGCACATGATAGGTACACGAGGATCTTCTTCGTTGGGATGAACTTTCAGACCCACTTTATATGTTGCAGTGCCAAATGTTTTCAGCATTTCTTTAATGCTTTCAGAATATGGACTCCTTAGATAAGTAAAACACAGTCACTATTATGTACAGGATTTAAAAACATAATTTGTTCAGAAACTAAGCACTGACAGTTCACAGTTAAATGATCTAAAAAGCCAAGAATATACTGGCCAAGGAATCAATCTCAGTTTGGGCTAATGTACCCTTTTAATTTGTTTAGGAATATTTTAAAATGTATCTTTGAAATCTACCTCTTACTTATTTTGGGGACTATCTGCTATACACTTGAACAATAACTAATTCATTAATTTTTTGATAGTCGCCAAAATCATGTCGCTTAGCATAGTAGATTGCATGAGAGTAGGCCCACCAATGGGGATTTAGTGAGACAACTCCCCCATAAATTCTATTGATTCACAGGCCTACTTCAAATGTGACTTACTTTAGCATAATAACTCAATCTGATTTAATGGGAATACTCTAGTGCAGTCTATTATAATAAACCAATGGGGATTTAGTGAGACAACTCCCCCATAAATTCTATTGATTCACAGGCCTACTTCAAATGTGACTTACTTTAGCATAATAACTCAATCTGATTTAATGGGAATACTCTAGTGCAGTCTATTATAATAAGCAATAGGATGTTGTCCATTTACCCCAGGCATTTGACTTAATAGCAGTACATCTAAAGGATCTGTAAAGTATCAGAATTCAGGCAAAGCTAAGGGCTTTAAGAAGTCTCAAGGAATTCAGGTAGATTAACACAATATAGTGATGCCTCGACTTATGAACGTCCCTAGTTGCGAAAAATTCGAGATACGAAAAGCTCCGGCCACAAAATATTGCTTCAACTTGTGGCTGGAGCTTTGAGTTACGAAAAAAAATGTGGGGGAAAGCGCGAAATTTGAACTTTCAGTTGGCTTGTTGGCCAGCGAAGAGGCTGTTTGTCTGCTACCTCACTCGTCTTTTTTTCTTTGGGGATAATGTAATAATGGTTGCTGGTTGTTGATGCAGGCAGGCAGTAAAATGCAGTTTAGACTCCACAGTCTTTTTTTCTTAAAATCAGAAAATATTCTGTGAGGGGCTGTGCTGTCTGTTGATGCAGGCAGGCTGTAAAATGCAGTTTAGACTCTCTTTTTGTGATTAGGAGTTCTGTGCTGGAATAATGCTTGCTGGATTCTGTGTCTTCTAGGGTTTGTGTACTGTGACCTCTCTCTTTTAAAATTGGCTTGGTTTAAAAGGTGCTTGTTTTTAAAGGTGTTCTGTTTAAAAGGCGTTGCCTACCGCCTGCCTCCTTTCCTGCCCTTTTTTTAAGCTAAAAGGTGCTTGGTTTTCTTTAAAAGGTGCTTGTTTTTAAAGGTGTTCTGTTTAGAAGGCGTTCCCTCCCCCCCTTTCCTGCCCTTTTTTGACCTAAGTTCATCTTAGGTCAAAAGAAGAAAAATTCTCCCCCTAGTGGTAGAGTGCGGATTAACCGCCTTTGCATTAGTTTCCTATGGGAACTAATGCTTCGACTTAAGAACGGCACCTCTGCATAAGAACGAAAAACAGCCAGAACAGATTAAATGGTTTTCAATGCATTCCTATGGAAAATGGTGATTCGACTTACGAAGTTTTTGAGATGTGGCCACCATTTCAATACGGATTAATTTTGTTAAGTTGAGGCACCACTGTAAAAGGTCTCAAAGTACTCATTTGGCCTCTTTAATGGTTACAAATACCATATAGAAATTACAAATAGACATGACAAAATAATGTCACTAGCTGCAATCATTTCACTCACAAGAGATTTCTTACATGGTGGTGCCTGAACAAACTGCCAGACTTCATTAAATCAATTTCCTAAACGCCATACATTGGCTGTAACATTATCATATTATTTAATAATTAATAAAATAAAATAAAATACACACTTTGGTTGAAAATCTGGTCTAAACCCTTCAGGAAGCTGTAGCTCATCCATTTTTTCTGAGTTGCTACAGGAGGAGTTACCTGAGAAGTAAGTGAAACAATATATTGTTTTAACTGCAAGTTCGTCTTAATGTTCAATGCCCTGCACTGAAAGAACTTAAAACTGTCTTGATTATACAAAAAGTAAAATCTCAAGTCAAATACCCCCAAAGAAAAAAGACCGTGCATATCTAAAGAACCAAAAAACAAAAAAACAAAATAGTTTTCCATCACCGCTCTTCAGAAATGTGGCAATATTAACAAAAATAATTTCACACTTACCAGCAGTTTCCTGGTTTCGAAGGATATGCAGTGCTTTAATTTGCTGAGTTACTGTTCTGATCCAGTGAGCTAGATTTGGTTGACTTGAAAATTCTAACCTGTCAACAAACAAATAATTCATTGTTTTGTCTCAAGGATAAAACAGTCTCACAAACCATCTTGATTAATAATGGCCAGAATCCTACTGATGTTCACTAAACTGACAAGGCCATTCTTGGTTGAACAGTCTGGTGTGTCACCAGACATGCAATCAAAATGTACTTCGTAAATTTGGTGAAATTTGAGGTTGCAAGTTATATGAAAAGGACAGGTTACTTGTAATTGTAGTTCTTTGAGTGATCATCTGTGAATTCACACCAATTGTTGTACACATGAACAGATGTCACCAGTCTTCCAGAGCCTAGAAAGCTGTTAGCGCCACCCTAACACCCAGTGCACGCTTTTCTACCTAATGGTTAATTATCAGCCCCCATGTCTGCTGCTGAATCAAGGAAGATTGGGTGGGATGTGCGAATTCACAGATGATCACTCAAAGAACTACTATTTCAGGTAAATAACCAGTCCTTTTTCATGATCTCTGTGATTCACACTAATGGGTGACTACCAAATTCATTTACCAGCTAGTGGGATGTCACAGCAACATTGATGAAATTTCTGTTTGACCAAATAATGCATCCTGTTTTGCTCTGATGTCCAATCTATAACGCTTATCAAACAACATGTGGCTGCATTACAAATCCCTGTCATCTGCACTCATTTTATGAAGGCAGTTGAGGCAATAAGAGGTGTAACGGAATGTCCCTTTAAGAAATTGGGGAAAGGTTTCCTTGCTAACTGGTATGAGAGTGATGGCAAGAATACTCTGAGAAGATACATGAACACCCTGTTGTCTTCCTTAGTAAAAGACAAACAACTTGCTAGTTTTCTGAAAAGCCTTTGTCTTCAGCATTTAGAAAGCCACAGCTTTATAGACATCTAGTGTACACAATGATCTTTCCAAGTCTGCAGTAGGGGACAGAAAGAAGGTTGGCAACACCAGAGGTTGGTTAATGTGAAAATTTGTTACAATTTTAGGGAGAAGAAATATAACTGTTGTAAAGACCATATTATCCTAAAAGAACTACAAGAGAAAAAAAAGGGAGGGGGTCACAATGCAATGCACCCAGCTCAATCGCCAACTGGTGGACATGACATTGGCCAGAAATATTGTCTTCATGTTGATATGTGAAGATCAGAAGTATCCATGGGTTCAAACAGCAAACTTGCAATCTTCTCTCAATGATGTTGCAAAGAAGGCAAACTTTATATTTGTAAGTCTCCTTGTGGATAATTTTGTGGCTTGAGCAAGACTCTTTTTATGATAGATGAATCTTCCACACTGTTTTATTTTGTTGAGGTCTGGATGATGAATTGTCCCACTGTACAGAGATATCAGATATGGCTCCATGAGTAGTAGATGGCAAATGTTGTTCGCCATGCAGAGAAGAGCTTGGCCAGAAATATTGTCTTCATGTTGATACGTGAAGATGAGAGGTATCCATGGGTTCAAACGGCAATCTTGCAATCTTCTCTCAATGATGTTGCAAAGAAGGCAAACTTATTCCATTTATATTTGTAACTCTCCTTGTGGATAATTTTGCGGCTTGAGCAAAATTGTTTTTATGATAGATGAATCTTCCACACTGTTAGTTTTATTTTGTTGAGGTCTGGATGATGAATTGTTCCACTGTACAGAGATATCAGATATGGCTCCATGAGTAGTAGATGGCAAATGTTGTTCGCCATGCAGAGAAGAGCTGTGAACCATGGCTGTAATGGGAACCACAGTGACAGGACTATGCCGTTCACTTTCTTCTGACATAGCTTCACACTCATCTCCCAGAAATTTAATTCCTCAGCCAGCCCAGGAACAGTATCTCTGGCACTGTGTGTTTTATGCAATTGCAAATAAGTCTATCTGAGGATGGCCGCAATGACTGCATATGCTCTGGAATACTTGAGGGAATAGTTTCCAATCACACATCTAGCAGTTTGTTGGCTCACCAAATCTGTGATCTGGACAAAAATGGGGTAAATGTGTTTTTGAACGCACCATTCCTACAGCAGGCAGAAAGTTACAGGGGAGCTACTGAATGTATACTTCCTTGCTTATTTATGTAAAATATTGTTGTAGATTTGTCTGTGGTTAGCTCACCACCTTTCCTTGAAGAATCAAAGTCCTTGAGAGCTTTTCTCATTGCTAGCATCTCTAGCATGTCTATATGTAGTTTTTTTCTCATCTTGGGACCACAGGGCATGAGTTTACCCACCCTTGCAGTGCACACACATTCCTGTGAGGCTTGTGTCTGCTATGAGAACTGAAGGTTGCATCTCTTTGCAGGGTTGACCCCTTGAAAGGTTTTCTGTGTCTGACTGTCAAAGAAACTAATCTGCTGGCTCTGGGGTTACTTGGAGCTTCTTTTGCTGTCTGTGATGCTGTGGAAACTTGATAGGAATCATGTCTGCAGGGCGTTCATTTTTAGCTGTGGATGGGAAATGACGGCTGTGACCGAGGCCAAGTATCCAACTAGCTTCAGAGCCGTGTGTGCTGTCACTAGGGCATGTGACCAAAACTTTCTCACAAGATGTTTGATGTTATGTATTCTGTTTGGTAGCAAATTGTCATAGTTCTTGAGTTTAATATAGTGCTTATGTGCTGGATCAGGGATGTTGATTTCAAATGTGATGGTCACAATGGAAGTGGGAATTAAGCCTTGGGTGGAGGAGCATGCGCTAAGTGTTAGGATGGGGCTAACAGTTTTCTAGGTTCTGGAAGATTCTGAGGATGTCTGAATAGGTGCACAACAACTCACTAGTGAGAATTCACAGATCAATTCTTGCCAATATATTGCTTAATCAATTAAAACACGGTAAACATGAGCTTGGAATGAAAAACTGCTGTCTATGGCAATATACAGGAATGTATCTTGCTTGCCAATGTGCAAACAAAGCACATGATGCTAATAAAGGATGCTAACTTACAGGACTACTAAAACAACTAAGCTCAAACAGACCAGGTGTCCATGAAAGCTGCTGCAGCCTACCAGCCAGAAGAATGAAATCCAAATTAGGAAGACTCCTAGTCATGACTGATCCTGAGGTAAACTTAGGCAAGCAATTCTGAACTTCAGCACCCATTCTCTTCCCAGTGCTGAAATCACAGTGACCTACCTTGAAGGGTTGCAAGAATTAAATCAATATGTATGGTAAGTGTTGTAACTTTATTTACATACTGTATTCCAATCCTGCCCTATATCTACAGATATCAAAGCCACCAAGTGTACCATTACTAAAACAGCATAGAAATATGCTTAAAACCATTTAAAGAATTTACAATAACCCGGCTTGGCCTCCAATGGCCTCTTGAAAGCAATCTATAAATGTCAAACAGCATCAGAATTACCATCACTTGGCACTGAACTCTCTCCCTTAAACAGCCAACTGCTTTTAGCATGCCTCAGGCAAGAAACTGCTTTTACCCATTTGCCCCATGCTCCTGCCATCTTCTTTTATCAGCAGCCTCTCTTATTCCCCCACCTTCCCAAACCTGTTCTTCTTTTCATTATGTGGGCAAGCACCATGCCTGCCATGGCCTCCTTCTTTTACACCCATCCAGTGTACTCCTGGTGCATTTTTGATGCATCTTATACCCTCTCTCTCACCTCTGAACCCAGTTTTCTGACTGACTTTTCCCCTTATGTGTTTAAATGGCATTGTCACACTCTAGCAAAGAGAGGAAATCTTGATATAATGTCATGTCTACAACATGCTAGAAACTGACATCACGGATTCCCAGAGACTTGAGGTATAACTGTTAATCCACTCCTAACAGCAGCCCTAATCTCTGTGACATAGTTTGAGTGTGGTGGATCCTACTCTGGTACAGCAAATCTCTTAATGCAGCTCTCTGACCTGTTAAGCAGATGATTACTGATGTTTACCTATCAGTGCTAAAATTCTGCCATGTGTGACTTTGGTTTGCTAGTCTTTAGCAGCTTTATTTTCTAAGGGCAAAACAAGCATCTTAAAAACAAGCAACCTTTACAAATGAAATCCCAGCTCTAATAGTAAAGTAATACTCTTTATTTTGTGATAAATGTAACTGATTCTCTTAACCATAAGTCAAAATATTCTGTTCAAAGAAATCCTTTTAATTACCCCGAGGTGCCACCCTGGTTTTTACTTGCCAGTGGAGATTCATTCAGAATGTCTTGCTGATGGGGCAGGGGAGGCTCTCTCTTCTGGCAACTTACAGCACCCCTCCTAAAGCACCCCCCTCCCTCCAGAACAGATTTTCAATGGAGGTGTGTCAGCAATAAACACTTCTCCCACATTCTACAAACAGCTTCACTGGATCAGGAGGTTTCCATGGATGCTGAGGACCTTTCTGTTAGTGGGAGGCAGATTTTAAAGTCAACCAGCAAGATAAGAGTTTGACAATTCACATAATGGACCACCACCAAAAAATTTCTGAATTAGTATTTATATTAGCAAACTTCAAACCTGAAACACATCATTTTTCTAAAGAAAATGTGTTTAAAATGGTGCAACATAGCTTGGAAGATTGTGTTCTCACTGATCATTTCTATTGTGTGTAGTCACTACTTACTCTGTGCACATCTGAACTTGGCTCAGAAATGTCAAGCTTTATTTTATGGGCTACAGCCCCACTGGATCAGACCAAGGCTTATCTCGTCCTGCCTGCTCCACTGCGACAAATCAGATGCCTTACGGAAAGTTCACAGGGAAGATATAAGCACAGAAGCATCTTCATGTCCATGCTCCCCAGCAATTGTTGTGTAGAGGCCACAGCAATTCCATACAGAAGGATATATATAAACCAACATGACTATAACCCACTGATGGTCTTCTTCTCTATGAATGTATACAATCCCCTTTTAAGAGCCATTCCAGTTGCTAGCCATCATGACACCTTGGATGCAAACTATAAAGTGTAACAATACACTGAATTTAAAAGTAAAGTTTTAAAGGGAGGAGATTTACACAATCGTGTCAAAGTAATGTTTGCAGCATTTAACTAGAAAAACCAAGAGTAAGGAAACGCAGAATGGGACGCAGTAAAGAGCTACATAACTGTGCGTGGCATTGAGAAAGTAGAGAGAGAAAGTATTAGAACATGGAATCATTCCAAGAAGCTGAATGATGTAGCGGCATGTAAACATGCATTACCTAACTATCAATTCTAGATAACACTGTGTGTTGAACTGAATGGACTAAATCACAGACGTTTACATTTAAGATGCTACTAGCTTGTTTCTTCCCTTTGATACAGATTAATATAACTACATTCAGGGTCCAACAGCTTGTCAGTTACAACAATGTATATTAAATACAAAATAAAGGATTATAAATTGGAGTATTTGCTGCCAATTAACAAGGTTCCATTTGCATTCCGGCTTGCACGATGAAATATGCCTGGCATTGTGTTAATTGGTGGCAATTCACCACTGTGACTTGGGCGATTTTGCTTACTCACACAGAAATCACCAACAGGATTCTGGTCAATGACAATAACATTCAGACTTTCCACATTTTCAGTGTTACCAACCTGGCACCTATTCCGCTAAATGCATACTATTTTGGTCTGCTGGACTCTAGCTGTGTTGCTTAAACAAATGAATGGCTCGAAGACAAAACTTGTGGGTTTTTTCCTAATTAAGGTATTTACAAAGAGCAACTAACCTGTTAAATAAACTCCTTGGTGGAGGAAGCAGAGGAATGACAGTGTTGCTTAGACATTCACAAAGAGGGCAAAGAAATTCACCATTTTCTACGTCGTAACTTGTGTGGACTCGCAATCTCTGTTGTCGTCTTTGCTCTTTTGCTTGCACTGCATCAAAGTATCTTTAGGAAGCAACAAAAGGTGTTAAATTAATTTGACAAAACTAGTTATGTAAGACTGCACTGAATTTCACCCTGCTACTTTCATCAACTCATAACCTGAATCTGGATGGGTCTCAGTGGTGGCCAAAAGTGCATTTGCAAAGTTAAAAGCTGGTGGCCCTTCACATTTCCAATCTGGCCACAATGACATAACTCTTAATCAAATCCTGTTTCGATTACAGCAATGCACTGTACATGGGGCTACCTTTGAAGACTGTTCAGCAACTTCAGCTGGTGTTGCAGTAGACTGCTGACTTGTACTGGTTCCGGGGGCATGTAAGTCCCTTACTACAACAGCTTCATTGTCTGTCAGCTGTTTCTGGGCCCAATTCAAAGTGCTGGTTGTAACTTATAAAGCCCTACATGACTTAAGGCTATCTGAAGGACTGCAATCACCCCATATGAACCTTCTTGGCTTTCAAGATCTTCTGGGGCCCTCTCCCTCTTGTCCTTCTATTGTCAGGCACGGACCTTCCTTTGCAGGCAGGCAGGCTTGTAAGCAATAAGTGAGAGTTTTCAAAATGCTATATTCATTGAATTGAGAGATTTTTCATTGTTTTAAAAATGCTTTTAAAAATGTTTTTAATGGCAATTGTAATACTGATAGACCTTTAATTGTTTTTCAATATAATTTCCTGTGGTGATTTTAACTATGATTTTGTGTATTTTTAATTGTCGATGTCTCCTGTAGGGAGAAAGACAGGGTGGGTGGGTGGTTAGGAAGGAAGAAAGGCCGCACATGCTCATCACCAATGTTCCCTCTAAGATGCATGGGTGTGAGACTGTGTAACACTACATTGGTGCTGCACAGTCACAGCCAGTATTGCTGCCCATCTGGTTCCTAATCTGATAGTCTGCAGATTTACACTAAAAGGAGCCAACAGGTTCATACAAGTATCAGTGTATAATGCAGTGGCAAGAAGTATGCAGGGTGGACAAAAGCAGAATTGTCTTTCCAAGGGCATAAGACACTAATAGCAGCATATATTCTTACTTTCCAGATACCATATATCTAGCATCTATTAATGTTGAAAAAGACAATTACCTCTGCCAGCAGTGGGCATGCATAATATGTCCACAGCTACCAGTGTGCGTACCACATGACAGGTCTGGGTGCATGAATAATGGATCGTATTTATCTGTATACAAAAGCAAGCACACAAAATTTTAAGGGATAGTGAGAGACAAATGTCAGTCACAGGAGATACAAACATTACCTCAAGAAGAAATATTTCAGACTAATCAAATATTTATGCAAAAACTTATTTATCAAGAATAGATGCCCGTAATAAATATACATACGACAGCTTCAGCTGCTAGGAAAATCAAGATTTCAGGCCGGTGTGCTAAATTAGCAACATGATCATTTGCTTGAATATACCATTGGACAGTATCTCCCTAATTATTATTTCAGAACAGAATCTGGTAGATTTGAAATCTAGGCGACCAACCTATATTTCACATAAAATACAAACAAGGAGATCTAATATTACCACTTCACCTCTACTTACCAGGATCCGGAATCACTTTATTTCTATTTTTTGACAAGACTGTTGATCTCTGAACAAATGCTGCCAGGACCATGGCTTGGTTGTCCATTTTAACCTCCTGCTCTTCTTGACACAAGATACATGTAACCACTTGTCTCATCTCAGTCACTTTAGTTTGTTCAGGGCCCAAGGCTATAAGCTTGGTATCTGAAACTGAAGGACTAGAATCAAATGATATTAGTAAGTTTTTCCAAAGTGAGGCAACATCATATAAATAGGCTGTGAAGTCCAACATTTTAATCTGGCTAATAAATCAGCATGTACTACACATGCATGTCTAGAGGAGTCTAAAATGATATCTGAAAAGCTCTACACCATGATATACTGTGGCCACAAGAGTTTGGATTATCCAAATTCTTGTTGAAGTCATTTCAGATCCAAAAGTACATGGACACATAGGTTCTTTGGGCTGAAAACACAGCAGAACGGGGTGAGGGATGTAATTTTTTGCCAATTTTCCTTTTCCTGCCCGAACCTCTCCCCATTATCTCAGGCATTAGGAGTTGTACTAGATGGGGCTGGGGTGTCACTGAAAACTGCCTTCTGTCATTCTTTCAACAGGAAGAACCTCTCCTTGGTCTAAAGCAGTGGTTCTTAACCTTGGGTTACTCAGGTGTTTTTGAACTGCAACTCCCAGAAACCTGAGCCAGCACAGCTGGTGCTGAAGTATTCTGGGAGTTGCAGTCTAAAAACACTTGAGTAACCTAAGGTTAAGAACCACTGGTCTAAAGGCCTTAACGTTTCCATTCACTAAATGGGAGTTGCAGTCCAAAAACACTTGAGTGGTCTAAAGGCAAAGTGGGCAAACTGTGAGATCAGAAATGTTATTGGACTGCAACTGCCATTTTCTCTCAGAACTCCTCTGAATAGATGAGTTACAGTATAATAAATACCTGGAAGGCTGACATTGCTCACCCTCACATTAAAGTGGTGTTTAAAGTGCTACATTAAAGCCTGTAGTGGATGGGGATACACTCCCTCTGAAAACACAGAAGTGCTGCTTGGGGATGCTCTTTGATTTGTCCCTGAGCCTGGATGCCCAGGTTTTGGAAGTGGCCAGGAGTGCTCTTGCACAGTTAAAACTAGTGCACCCGCCGCACTCGTTTTCTTGAGCCAGGAGTGCTCTTGCACAGTTAAAACTAGTGCACCCACTGCACTCGTTTCTTGAAGACTGACCTGGCCACCCTGACACTTGCCTCAGTTACATCCTGGCTCGATTACTGCAATGTTCTCCATGTGGGGCTACCTCTGAAAAGTGTCCAGAAATTTCAGCAGATCCAAAATGTGGCACCCAGATTGCTGGTTACAGGGATCACACAACCCCCCTATAAAAAGCGTTCTAAAGCAAAGCGTGCTGCTTATATACCGCCCCATAGCGCTTCAAGCACTCTCCGGGTGGTTTACAATTTAATTATGCAGGCTACACATTGCCCCCCCAGTGAGCTGGGTACTCATTTTACCGACCTCGGAAGGATAGAAGGCTGAGTCAACCTTGAGCCGGCTACCTGGGATTTGAACCCCAGGTCGTGAGCACAGTTTTAGCTGCAGTACAGCGATTTAACCACTGCGCCACGAGGCTCCTGTAACAGCAGCTCCACTGGTTGCCAAACCATTTGCAGACACAGTTCAATGTGCTAATCTGTAAAGCCCTAAACAACTTGGATCCAAACTATCTCAAGGACTGTGTGTCTCCCTTTATGAGCCTGCTCAGGTGTTAATATCATCAGGACAGGCCTTTCTCTTGGTTCCACCACCTTCATGGATGTGTTTGGTGGGGACGCGGAAGACGGCCTTCTCTGTTATTGCTCCTAGAATTTGGAACTCCCTCCCACAGGAAGTCAGGCAGGTCCCATCTTTATTGTACTTCCACAAACAGGAAGTTCTTTTTCTTAAGGCAAGCTTTCCCTTAGTGACTGGCTGGCTGAGTGGGTTTTTTAAATGGATAGGTGTGTCTTTACTGCTGTGAATGTGGTTTTGGTGCTGCTTTTGTTTACTGTTTTTTTAGTGGGGTATTTTTGTTTGATCCTCTTTAGTATTTGTAGATTTACTGTTTTTAGCTTTAAATACTGTCTTTTAATGATGGAAACAGTTTTGGCTGCAGTAGCTTTTAAGGAAAAAGGCAGGGTAAAATATTTTGAATAAAATTAAATAACAAAGTGTAATTGAGATGGAAACCTAAGACAGGAGTAACAAGTTTTTGTGGAAAATGCTTTTGTACCAATCAAAGTGAAATATGATGCTTTGAAATTTGAAGGTTTCCTGTTAAAAAGACCAAGAGACTTGTTAGCTTCTCAAGCTTCTTGTCACTTTCTTTTTACCTATTATCATGCACCCTCGAGGTAGTAGTTTCAAATTCATCTAACGTCTGTTGGAAAAGTTCTTTGTTTTCATCAATGAAGTGTCGCTGCATTTCAGACATCTGAGCCATTATTTTCTCTCTTCGCAATCTGGCAATTTCAGCTTTTCGCTTTCTCTCAGCCTTTTCTTTGTCTCGTGTGCTCTACAAAATTAGTACATTAGCAAACATAAATAACTAATCATAATCTGTATCTTCAATTAAGTATAGATTGCATAATTACCACGTACATTAAACAGACAAAATACGTCAAGCAATATACAATAATGTACTTGGCACTCTCCCTCTTTTAAGAGCCATCTCACCCCAAAAACATGCATGCATTTCAGAAATACAGTGACTTCATAAATTCTTTTTGAAGTATTGCCTGATCAAAAACATCAGATTTGTGTACTCAGCCTTTATTGCATATTCAGCAGATCTAAACAAAAAACAAACCAGAGCCACTAAAAAGCTACATCTGGATGATTTAAGAAGAAATATGCACTAGATGTGGACTGCCATCCAATATGACAGCTGAGTGCCATTTTTTCATAAAGAACCATGTCATGATATCAATATTCTGTGCATTTGTGTATCTCTACTGCGTATCATTGACTGTTACTGACAAGGATGAGGAAATAAAATAGCGACTTCTCAACAAAGAGAAGTATGCCAAATTTTACTTTATGGGAAAAAGGGAGAGAACATGACACAAGACTGCTTTGTTCAATAAATGTCTAGCTCCACTGACACATTTTCATGAGCACATTGATCACAACACGACAGAAAATAAAAAATTATGTAGGACTAATAACATATATATGATGCAAGATTATTAATTGGAAAATCCTGAGGTGAACTGAACACAGGGGTTATCAGGAAATTATAGCAAGTCAAACCCTGTTTACTAGGTGAACTGAACACAGGGCTTATCAGGAAATTATAGTAAGTCAAGCCCTGTTTACTAGGCACATAGATGTATGTACTCTCTGTGGTCAAAATTAACCCAATGAACAGAAGTCTTGCCTTCAAAACAAACAGTGACCTTTCATTACATATTTAATTTCCCTCTTCTTTTTGCTGAGCTTGATCTATGAGTGAGATTCTTAATTCCTTACAAAATATTCATCATAATCAATCCATTAAAATAGATGGCAAGGTCAGTAAGCTAAAGAGAACATCTTTTCAGTCACCAAAGCCCATATGATATGTTTTAAGGATCAGCTGCTGTGCAAATGCACACCTGTTTGCATTCATACATACACCAGTCATGCCACTGTTATCAGCAATAATAACAAAGCAATCTGTATAAGAATCACAAGGGAAGAGAATGGAAAATCTCCACTGGTGGCAAAACCAGTTGCAGATTTAGGTGGTGGACGTTGGGGGAGGGGGTCAGGACACAATGGGGTGGCACTTAAGTCCTCACAGATTATGCACCGTTGATAGAGAGGGCTAGAATGTGAAAAACAATTTTGATACAATAACATAAAATTTAAATACTTATGTTATACATCATGGTTTGTATAATCACAACCTTCCTTCTCATTTGGGAAATGCAACATACTTTTAAACAAAGAAACTCTAACACATGTATCAGCCACAGACTGTGAACATCTGCCCCAAATTCTGTATACTAGTTGGGGAAAGGCCATATTAGCTAGACACTAGAATCTTTCAAATGAGGCATGATTTCTTTGTGATCCACATCTATTCTCAAATCATTATTTTTTTAAAAAATGTCCTTACTTTTACCTCTTCCATAATATTTCCCTCAGTCTCTGATACAGGACTTGTAGAAGATCGCTCCCGGACCTTCTTTACAGCATTAAAAGTCTAGACAAGAAAAAGAAAAAAAATGCCATCAAATATTGAAAAATATTCCATATCAGCCATAAAGATGTGGAAATAACTGAGGATGATTTACCTTCAATACCCATCTGATCATGTCCTTGTGCACTTCTAGATGGGGTGCATTTTGCAAAGTTTCTAGCATGGCTAATATACTTGGAGAATTGCGTGGTGCCTCACCGGGCCCTGAATCAAACATGGATAAGGAAAACAATTCACTATATACAATTAAAATGTTGATCTGAATATATTTTTCTCACTTCTTTGTATCATAACAACAACCCAAAGAATACTTACTTATGAAATACTTTTTGTTTGTATAAGCAGTATTCCTATCTTAGGAATGTGACATTTGAACTGTGAGATTAACCCAGATACAGGAAAATGCGGATCTTCCACAGACAATCTTGGTTTAACTGCCTGATCATGAATGTACTTGTTAAGTGTGCTGATCTTTTGGGAGGAGGTGGTGGTTATAGTATAACACCCATAATTCTTCAGGCAATGCTTCCTGAGGGATTCTGGGAGCTGTAGTCCAGAAACAGAAATCTGCACAACTCACCTTTTAACCATAGCTGTCCAATGCATACATACAGCATGTTACACATATATGTTAAAAACCCAACAGTATGTGGAACAGTGACAGAAAAGCAACAATAATTGTATTTGTTTGTACAGCAAAACACACAGTAATGAATTGCAGTTTTAAGTGTTTGTACATATATTACCCTTGGTGCCTAATCAGTACCAAGTTAATTCAAACATGCTAACAGCATCACAAAGGGCATAACATTCAGTCCTTTCCTAGATGGCAATTATATAGTCCCTGCTGGGAATTACGAGCATGGACTGAGCCAATGTGTGTGTGTACTCTTGAAAACTGCATCAAGATTTCTTAAGTCCTGGCTAGGAACAAGCTGAATGTTATGCCTTTTGTTACACTAATTAACAGGATGGCAGCACACAGAAAAATATGACAATTTTACTTAGATAATACTACTTTGCTTTAGTTTGAGACTGAATTTACAATATTTTGTAAGGAAATTTATTTCCTCCATTATGGACTGAAGTTCAATCTTACATCAACTTTAGCAAATACCTTTCAAAAAAGCTATGCTTTCAGAAGACCACTAAATTGATACTGTACAGAGTCAACTACTCTTAGCAAATGTTATTAAGAGAAAAGTCAAGCGAGTAACCTACTTGAGATCTTCTGACTGAAGGTAAATGTCACCACATTATCTTCATCAGCATTTTCAATGTGTTGTTTTTCTTCCTGTAGTGCCATTCCAGTCAAATGCAGAACCTAAGGAAAAATAATCAGACGTAGAGGTTGTGTTTCTAAAAACAATTCACCACAATTTTCTAAAATTCACAAGTGAATTAGCAACACCTGGAATCTAAGCATTAACATACCCTTTGAAGCATGGACTCTGACCAGGCATAGCCATTATGCTCTACTGCCCACTGCAATATTGTCCTCATAATGCACAACATGACATCACATTGGAGAATATTGATCAGGCTTTCAAAAAGAGGGCAGAATGAAGGTAGAACAGGAGGTGGAAGCGCTGAAACCAAAAGGAATACATGATAGCTATGATACAGCATTCTTCACAGAATATGTACAGTATTCAACAACCTGTCTAGATGGAGACACATCAATACATGCATTTTCTTAAACTGCTTATCTTATACATTTCAGGAGCCATCATCACTGACTTTAAAAATGCTTACTCCCAAGTAAGTAAACAGAAGACTACAATTTAAGTCCTGCTGCTATGGTACTGGAACTCTTCAGTTTTTAGAACTCCCAGAAGCTAATATGCTATTCTAGAAATGTTTGATGAGTGAAATGTTGAAGGAAGAAAACCCTTGGAAAGATCTCTTACTACGTCTCTACTTCCATAGGGATCGGAGGAACTAACATGGTCATTTCATATTATTTCAGTCACCAGAACAGCAAAGGATCTAGTCATGAAGAAGCAGAAGTCACACCACATTGGTGTTTTTTTAAACTTCAAGTATCAACTTCTCCTATATTATATTTTACATAATTTATTATCTGTATCTACAAAGGTAAACATCTTTAGAAGAATACAAATGCATTTGTAAAGGAATCTTAATAGTACATGCCAAGAAAAATGTAGAAAATTGTAGAGAAGTATTGTTACATTCATCCAAGGAATACACACAGTGTAACTCTTCAAGACAAAAATACTACGTCACAACTACAACTAATGCAAAGATGAGTTGTTAATGCAAAGATGAGTTGTTGCCGAGTTTTGCAAGCAGCCTGCCATGTCAGCGGTAGGAACATAATAATGTAAACCACATTCCCCAAAAAAGGATTTCAGTAATTACCAATATATGTAATGGGATCTTGTACAAGATTTGTGCCACAAAGATTTTTACCACATATGAAGTGAGAAATGTCAGCTAAATTTAGAAAAGTAAGAGACACTAGAAATCATATTGCAATATGTTGGCTAATAGAGCACTGTATGGTGTATTAAAGAGTGCTGGACTAGGATTCAGCAGATCTGGGTTCAAATCCCTGCTTATCAATGGAAACTCACTGGTAAAATCGCCCCTTAAATACCTCATATAATTTGAAAATGTTATTAAGGTACAAGAAACACTTAAAGCCATTGATAATATAAATAATGAAAAACTATGGATTGCTTTTAAAACATAGGTGTGCCACAACATGATACTTCTGATGGATCACCTGTAATCTGGGCAAGAGGCTACTATTAGGATAAAATATGGAGAAACAGAGTGGAAAATGCATCAAATACAGATATATTCTATCTCTTTACCCATTCTATTTACATATAGAACATATAGTGAAAGCTGGATTAGATTCAGAGGAAGGAGGAATGAAAATTAGGGGAAGAAATTCCAACAACATAAGATATGTAGATAACAGCATGAAAAAACAGCAATGGTCTCAAATGATTACTGAGCAAGGTTAGTAACGAAGTGCAAAAGCAGGGTTACAATATAATACTTGAAGACATATACTGTACAGAGTTTTAAGAGGTGGGGGTAAAGCTACAGAGACACCTATATAAATTATCTAAATCGGCACCTGTATCTTCCCGATTCTGTCGCCTTAGTTTTCTTTGGGCTTCCTCAGCCGGGTTTAAAAACAAAAGAGGCATTAATGTTCCGTACATTAAAGACAACAATGTGATTATTGTACAGTTAATTGAATATTACCCTTCACTTTTTCCCCCTCAAACCCCACACTACATGAGTAGTTTATTATGATGGATTTATCAGCAGTTTTTCCCCTTGTGTTTGCCTTTCAACCAGCTCACAATTTACTGCTGATTTTTATGTTTTCGCTGTCCTGAATGCATGGCCTTGCCACCAGGGCTAAGAACTAGTGAGATTCTTAATGCAAGTATATTTGGTCTATTTCCACAATGCTTCTAGTAAACAGCACAATGGTACGGCTCAATACAAACACCAAACTACAGGTGAAACAATATAATCACTGTCAAATGAATCATGAGGAACCTGAAATGTTCCATGGATATTTCCCATTTCCAGTTAAACAGTATATTCACAGTTTTGCTTCAAGTCCCAAAGTTGACTTCATTAAAAAAAGGAACTAAGTTTAATTTTCTGAGTTATGAAACCAAGAAGAACAAATGTCCTGAAACTAAGTATCAGAAAGATTTGCTTAAATCAATGTGCTAAATTTATTTCCTTTTCTCTGCATCCCTCATCACACACACACACACACACAGAGAATTTGTTGTTCTAAGTACTATCAGCCACTCTGCCAGAAACATGAAGCACAAAAGTTAGGCTACAGATTTATATCCACAGAGAATATGATGGAGAGCTGAGAACCAAATAAGATGAGAAAAATAGCCTGGCCTAGAGTGGTCTGTTTTGCTCCACATGTCTCAAGAAGTGGATTGTAATCCACAAAAATCTCAAACTTAAAATAAATCTGTTAGTCTTCAAAGTGCCTTTATTTTTATTGTAAGCTTTGAATACTAACATAGCTACCTCTTTGAAAATATCTTCCATAGTTACCTTGGATTGTTCAGCCCTTGAAAAATGATAAAAATACAGGTTGAACTCTTTAGCACATTCGGGTTTCAACTCATACAATCCTCTGCCTGTTAATCCTGGTTTCCTGAAATAATATGAGTGAAAATTAGAATGCACTAATAATAACCGAACACTGCTTGTAAAGAGTTTCCACAAGTGTGAAACTAAAAACCATTTGAAAACTGAGGCCTCTTCAGACATACTTTCCATGTAACAAATGTGTATTGCACCCCTATACAAGAACAAATCTACTATGCCATCAGCCAAGGATAGATAACCTCTTTTAGTTTTCAACAACATTTCCTTGGGAGTCATCAGCTGGTAGCATGCATGGTCATTACCGTTTTCTCTTCCTCACCTGAACAAAACCAGAGTATGGCCTTGCTTTCTAAGATTACTGTTGCTGGGATGGAAACAGAGCAAAGATACTCCAGTTTTCTCATCTGAGGAGTAAGCTAAGAGCTACAGTCTACTTCATTGGATGCATGTGGTATTTAGTAAAGGTAAAGGTTCCCCTTGACAATTTTTGTCCAGTTGTGTTCAACTCTAGGGGGCGGTGCTCATCCCCGTTTCCAAGCCATAGAGCCAGCGTTTGTCTGAAGACAATCTTCCATGGTCACACGGCCAGTGCGACTTAGACACGGAACGCTGTTACCTTCCCACCAAGGTGGTCCCTATTGATTTACTCGCATTTGCATGCTTTTGAACCGCTAGATTGGCGGGAGCTGGGACAAATGACGGGCGCTCACTCCGTCACATGGATTCGATCTTACGACTGCTTGGTCTTCTGAACCTGCAGCAAAGGCTTCTGCGGTTTAGCCCACAGCGCCACCACGTCCCTACAATGTGGTATTTAATTAGGATTCTAATCTACAAAAACCTATATCACTTATATATTGCTTAGCTTTTAATGTACTATGCTTATTTTTGTTTCTATGAGCTAACATGGATCATTAGACCTTTTTTCCCACATATAATTTTTTCCTTCACATACAGTATCTGGAAACACAGTAAAACACAAATGTTTTGTTTCATTTCTTAAAAACTTTTGGTGAAGAGTAGTTTCCCAAATAATGAGAACAGACGTGTTCTATTTTCAGATTCCAGCATTATTTGTCACAGTTTGACTACATATATGGTGAAAGATGCTAATTTACAGTACAATATAATTTACTGTTTGAAGAGTGCAGTTACATATTGCCCTAAGCAATACTTATCCAGGCCAAAAAATGGCATTATTTCCTACATTTAAAAACAGATGATTGCAAGAAGCACATTACTTGAAACAGGCCACTGATTCGATGACAGTTTCCATTCCAGTCTCTTTGTTCTCCTACACAATTCAGAAAAGAACAAAAAATTATGTATAATTCATTAGCATATGAGCTATTCATTACTTCACCTAATAGTTGGCTTAAAAGATTCACATATCTATACTATTGTTGATATCTATCTGAAATTAATAAGCAATACTGAAATCTCCTGTTCCTTATGACTAAAGTCATCTACTTTATTTGGATTCAAACAATCCCCAAATGTTAAGAAAATTCACTACATTTTGCTAAGTGAATTCAAAATACTGATTACTTTCCAGGGAACATTAAATGGAGGAGAAGCAGTCTAAGTTACCTAAAGGTACATCATCTGGGAAAAGTAATGTCCAATATAAAAGAAACCTTCAAAATACAGTATTTTCCCTCCCCACTGTGCCTTCAATATGGGTCACTACACTTCCCAAAGCTGTTAATACCAATTTACAGAAGCAGTACTGAATGCATTTCTAATAACACTTACATCTTCCGGCAATGCTTTTACTAATTCACTGTGAGCCATGGGTCTGATGCTCAACTGATGGACAATTTCTCTTTTGATTTCATCTGTAGCATTCACCTGGCCAACACCAGGAATAAATCTCTCACCTGCCAAACCAAGGCACAGAACCAAGAATTATAGCAAGCTCTGATCAATTCCTGTTATTCATTTTTCATTTACTAGGTTTTTAACCTTCCTGGGTAAACACATACAAAGCTATATTATACATTGTATATAGAATGAAGAAAGAAGGCATGAGTGACCATACTTCTGGTATAACATCTGGAGGGGAATTCACACTTTTGCATGGCAAGAGATGTGAGCAGTCCCCACATCTCACCACAGGAGCTGTATTGTACCATGGAAAAAGGGGGCACAGCAATCATTTGTACTTCCTCTTCCTTTCACTCTGAGAAAAAAACCCAGTATAGGCACTGCCTATAGATAGAGCAATGAAGCCAAATCTCATAATGAAAGGACAGCCAACCCCAATCTGTCTTGTAATTTTGTAAGCCGCCCCAAGTAGACATGGTCTAGAGGGGCGGGGTAAAAATCAAATAAATAAATAAATAACACAGTAACTGGAGGCGGGGAGCCAACTTACCAACGATAATTATAATCAGGTACAATATTTCTTCAATGAGTGTATTGTTTTGCTGAACCACATCCTGAAAGGGAAAAAAAACCCAATATATACTCTAAATGTTTTTAAAGAATTCTTAATGCAGTCTTAGTTGAAGGTATGGCATATTGCACCCTACATTTTAAGAGTATGAAACTGAACTTTAAACAATCTATAACATACCTTATTGGAATTTTCAGAGCTGAATCTTTTGCCATAATCAGGAGTACTAAATATCTGATAAAGTTCGAAGCGACTCAGCATTATCATGAGGAAATGGTTCGGATCCATCATGGATGCACCTGTCTAAAGAAAAAATTAATGTATTTATTATATGGACAACCTGGAAACAAGGCAAACTATTAATATATTTATTAAAAATAAAAATTATGTTTGTACAGTATAGCATGTTTTCTGAATAAATAGAGAAACGCTATATTGTAATTGGTAAACACAAGTGTTCTTTAGGCTTCATCTAGGGAATAACAGATTTCCCATTATAGACTTTCAATTTTTATTCTTACTATGAAATCTTGAAAGTTTTATAATTAAAAAATGCTGCTTTCTTTTAGAATTCAAAACCACATGATTTTTTACTTACAGTATTGAGTTTTAATTTTTCAGCTACCTTAGAAAGTTCACAATAAAGTGAGAAGTTTTCTCAAAATGTGCATGCAGAGTCATTTTCATTGTAGACGTATACAAGAGGCCAAGTGACAGAAAAACTTGAAGAAATCTCAATTCATCACAGGATTAGGTAAGGAAACTGCATATACAGAACAATACAACGTAGGGAATATTCGGAAACCAAATAATAAAATATTTTACAAAAACTTCAAGAAATAAAAGGAAATGTAAGTTTGGGTAAAAAAAAACCCTGCTCCTTTAAAAGCAAGTGCTTAGTGACATCTCAGTATAAAAAGGTATTTTATACAGTTGCACTTAACTAAGAGGAAAGGGTTTAAACACATAAATATCCACAAATAGCATTAAATAATTTTACCTGAAGCATTACTATGTCTTTGTCAAACATTTCTTTTCTGCATTTCACATTATGATAATAGTATATCTGTGGAGGAAAAGAAAAAGATTTCACAAACAGGGAATTCAACACATGAAACAAGGTGCAGAACCATTCCAAGAATATTCGAGTGATTACATCAACAAATCCCACATGCCTGGAAGGATAACTGGGAAAGGGTACAGCTTTACTGTTGCCAAGAATGAAGGAATACTCTTATTGTAATGGTGTATTTTTACCACATTATTTAAGTTGATCAGAATACAAAAGCTTTTTTTTAACTTCACAAGTGGTCTAAAAATAGAACTTAATGCAATGAAAAGATGCAGCTTGTTACCCTGACAACTCATTTATTAATAAGTTGTGAAGCCTGTCACTAGAAGCCTATTTAATAGAAGGGTATTTCTATTAATACTCCAATTTATCCTTTATTCTGTCTCTTTGAAGAATACATTTAAAACCATTTACTGTTCTATTCTATAGAACAGAATATGTGTACCCTGCATAATTGAATTGTAAACCACCCAGAGAGTGCTCTAAGTGCTATGGGGCAGTATATAAGCAGTGCAATTTGTTTTTTTTTTTTAATTTATACATTTATGTGCTGGCCTTCAGTGGTGCTCCCAAAAACAGAACTTTGTGTCTCTCATTCACTGACACAACAGGTTGAAATAATAAACATTTTTAATCCAGTGACTCTCAGTTCCTAACAAATACGTTGGGGAACCAGAAAAAGCACAACACAGCTATGTAAATATGGAGATTATCTATCTAGGTACCCAGGCTAGCACAATTAAGTAATCATTTCAATCTGCCCTATGACTCTTATTTACATGACAAGGGGAAAACAGGAGTTCTCATACTTACTTGGTTGACAAGCGAGAAGCCGTTTCTTCTCCACATTCCAGCATGCACTTGGGCACATAGAACAAGACACCGTAGGGGATGTTCTATTAGCATAGGTGGACTGAGTTCACTCTGCATCAAGTAGATAAAACAAAAAGATGGCTTCTGATTTGAAGGATTCTTTGTTAGCTCCTTAAAATATTTTTAATGATAGTAAGAAATCCTGTTCTATTCTTGAAAAAATAGTAAGTGAAAAGTGCCATCCTGTTTTTCTCCTCCTAACATCCTTTGCCTATAGCACCCTCTAGATGCCTGCTAGTGACCATAATTTCCTTACCCACAATGGAGTGCTACCTTCACAACTCTGAATAACTAAATGACATCCAGGCATCTCTCCAGTGCTCAGGCTGCTATCCATAAAAGACCCGGGGCGCCATGTCCCTCCCCTTTTATTGGTGCCATCTTGGTGGCAAGGAAGAGTCTGCTGTCCAGCATGACCATCTGCAGCAAGGTGAGAACCTTAACTCCCCAACGGCTGTACTTGCCATATGAAATCCCCAGGAATGTGCTAAATGCTGGTCAACTTCAAAAACAGTCTGACACCAATGTCTTTGAACACATCTATATGATGAGTGGCTAAAACAACATCTCCCTGAGGCAGCCTCGTTTCGACAGTTACTACCATTCATTAATATGCTTTAATACTAATAGTAAAGACTTCTATACTTCCTTAACATGAATAAGGAGCCAAGACTCAACAACAACCCTTAGTTAAACAGGAATAAAATTAAGCCCTTGGCATCAATAAACCTATCTATCCTATGATGCTTTGCTGCTGTAGCAGTAAAATGTGAAAGCATTTAGGAAATCAGAAGAGAGATATTAGCAACATCCCACATATTTTTATCTTGCAGGAAAAACATATACTGTATTAAAGTGTTGTAGACAAATGAGAAAACTCCCTGACATCTAAATTACAACATTAACCAGATCTAAGGACACTTTTTCTTTGCTATTGTTTCATTCATTTATTTCTTATCACCATCAACATTTTCTTGCACCCAAAGTTGTTACATTTTTAAAACAACAACCCAATTGTAGGCACGCATTAAGTAATAGTGGCATACCACTCACCATTGGCAGCTGTTCTGGAAACTTGTATGCCACTTCAGTTCTGCTCAGAAGCACATGTAAACCTACATTAACATAAAGAATAATTTTTGCAGTAACAATTATCCTCTTGTATGCCTCATATGAAGTACTCAATTCTGGGAAAATCATGAGGTTACTAGAAAGCATATTTTCCAAACTTGGAGTCTGGGTGTGGCAGCCAATTCTTACAGGTCTACATAGAACTGAGACAAAATCCTCCTACCATGTAAGAGCATATTAGACATAAATGCCTAAGTGCTCCACTAAACATGTCATTGCAATATTCCTATATGCAAGAAGTACTGCTGTTTCAGTAAAGTGAACTGAATTCATCAAATTCCTGTGTATTCTTTATGTGACCTCAGGGTAAGCAGGTATGACCACCAGCTTAGATGGAATGCAACCTAGTTTTTAGATGTACTCCAGCACTTATTTGTGCTTGGAGTGCTTGTATTTTTTAAAATTTATTTATTTATTTACAGTGGTGCCTCGCACAACGAGTGCCTCACACAACGATGAATTCACACAACGATGAATTCACACAACGATGGCTTTTCATGAAAAATTTGCCGCCTCACACAACGATGTTTCCTATGGGGAATTTTCGCACAACGATGTCCGTCCAATGGCTTTCAATGGAGAAAACAAAAAATCACGAAAAATTAAGGACGCCTCAGAACAACACCAAATTAAGTTTGCATACGTTTCACAAGCTGGACTATCGATGCCAAGCATTTAAAATAGGTTTCAAACAGTTTAAGGCACTTTTACAGGAGCAAAAAGGGACATCGGAAAGAGCTTCAAAAGCAGGGAAATGGAGATCAAAGAGCCCTTTCCGATGTCCCTTTTCGCTCCTGTAAAAGTGCCTTAAACTGTTTGAAAAGTGTTTTAAATCTGAGTCGGCTTCAATGCATTTCAATTGGGGAACCGCTTTTCCCTCAACAATGTTTCCTATGGGGATTTTCGCTTAAGGACGGCAATCTGTTCCAATTGGAACAGATTAACCGGTTTTCAATGCATTCCTATGGGAAATGGTGTTTCACAGAACGATGTTTCACAGAACGTGTTTTTTTTTAACCAATTAACATCGTTGTGCGAGGCACCACTGTATTTATTTATTTATTTAATATCCCACCCACCTTGACCAAAGTCTACTCTGGGCTGCTAACAACACTCAAGAATAATAAAATAAAATAAACTGGAGAAAATTAAGTTGTTTCTAGGCACACAAATATCTCAGTTCTGAGATCATATGCAGTAGAGAAACCATGTATGCAGCCTGATATGTCACAACAAACCACTTTTTAACAGCTTGCCTGTGAATACAAAACATAAGAGTTTGACAAGCGCCTTTTAGGGTAGAACACATAACTGACTTTTTTTTGCATGGACTAAAGGCTGTGAGATATCCTCATTCATACATACATCATTACCTTGCACATACTGAAATACATCCATTTCCAAAGAAAATAGGTATCACCATAGTTACTCTGGGTAGACAGTTTTAGCAATATATACAATCTATAAAACAGTTTCATGCAGCACATGTAAATAGCTAAAAAAATCTAATCTCTGAACACTTTGTGCTTGTATGAAAGGCTTTTTAAAAAACTTCCTGTGCACCATGAAGCAATTTCATTGTTACCTGCAAGTAAACGAGAAACAGGGAGATGAATGCTAACTTTTTCCTGAGAAACACAGTATCGGATAGTCTCGACTGAGTGTCCACACATGTTGAGATCAATAGGCTGCTCTCCATCAGTAAAACCACTGTGGCATTGCATCAGTGCAGTCAGACATTTCTTATAGGCCTCAATGAGCACTTTTTCCTGTAAAGATCAAAAATGCTTGTAATTATAGAAACACAATTCCTATGTAATCTAGTTCTATGTCATAATGTATGAAGAGACTGCAGAACTGAATTAAATGGAGTGTGTGCAGTTCACCACTCCATAAAGCAAACGAGCTGAAACATGACCAGTTAGTCTTTCAGAAGTCCTTGTAGAAACTGCTTGTAATCTTGACTTGCCCTGATTTGAATTCTCCATTCCCCTAGGGCAAAAAGGAAGGGTGCTGATGTACACCGGTAACTGTTCGTCTCCTAAACATTAAGACTTGGCTTGTAATGGGGAACTGCACACAGCTCAGTCCTTAAGCCTTGCTTTACCCATGAGTAAGGATTTAAACTGTATTTCTTTATTGTATTTACAAATTGCCTTTTGCACAAATAAGGACTCAAGGCACCTCACAATGTATCTAAAAACCAACGCACCCAGGTACAACTAATACAGCGGACTGCCCTCATAATTTAGATTCAAGTATGGTAATATTAAAACACACACCCACAGGTCAGCATATTAAAACTGCTGGATTAAGAGAATCTTCAAAACCACGTACATTTTTACAAATTTACAGCACCCACCCACTGATTAAAATTCCCTTTTCTCAGCTGCCAGTCAGTTGCCAAAAGCTTGCCTATGAAATTAAAGGTCTCTGTGGGCTGTTGGAATGATTATGGGGAGCTACTCAGTCTATTCTCCCTAGGAAGAGAGTCAGTCTTCATTGTGGGGCTGCATTAATCTCTTCATCCTTCCCTGTCCAAGTCTGGTGGAGGTACCTGTCTTTTTAATACTCCTGCAAACCTTTCACTTGGCCAGGCATGATGCTGTTTTGGCTAAACGAACAATGACACTTGCCTGGACATCAAAAGTAGAGAAAATGACACAGAATGCATGGCAGAATCTTCTGTGTGCATTCCATCTGTGCAGCCAGCCACTGTGAAAGTAGCTGGGCTCTTTTGGACAAGGAGATACCGTGTACTTCCTGGCACAAGCCTAAATCCTATTTGTTTCAACAAGTCAACCTCATGCTTGTGCAACACCATGCTAGAGACTGTGGGAATGATCTGCGGTGGAGCATGAAATTATGCCCAGTGTCAACAGGATATTGGCCCACATTTCAAAGTAGTTAGTGGCAACTGATACAGAACAGCAAAGAGAGAATATATCTGGATTTTAGATTGCTACTATTTTTCTCCTTCTCTTCTTACATGTCTATCACAAAGTTGGAAAAAAAACCCCTATGAGTGAAAGAGGAGTTTTGCTTGTGGAAAAACATCATTTACAGTATTTGTTAAAGCAGGACCTTGAAAATTGTGGATTTAATGGAATATAAGCACTCCAATGCTGGAGGTATTCAAGAAAAAATTGGAAAACTATCTGTCAGATCTACTTTGATTTGGATCCTTACACTAAGCAGTGGGTTGGACTCAGTGTCCCTCAAAGACAGCAAGTTCTGCAATCCAGAGAAAGCTTCCATATAAGGAAGGGGGAGATGATTCCCCTTCTTCAGCAACACCTCCAAGCACCTCTGTGCTGTTCCAAAGGGCCCCTAGCCCTCTGGAGGACACAGGTTGCAGAGGACTACAGAAGGAAAAGAAATTAGCAAAAAATTGGAAAATTCAAATGGCTTAAAGAAATCTTCTGGCTTAAATGAAATCTCAACCCCACCGAGTTAAGTCTTCTAATTCTAATACATAACCATCTCTCAGGCTAAGTGACAGACTTTGAGGAGAAAATATTCACTTACAGTATCAATCCATCAAACTTGCTGTGCCATGAAATTGTTAAATAAGAGATTGGGGATGTCACTCAAACCGAGCATTATCTAACGGCTAGGAATAACTGTAAAACCTTTGTTCCAGCAGACTGCCCTCATAATTTAGAATTCAAGTAGTACCACAGAGTTTTTTACTCTAACCCACTCTAATATCATACAGACAATTAGAAGGAAAATATTTGTGCACCTCTTATTCACACCAACTTTGTCCTTGCCAATCGGAGGTGGCAGAAACTTCTAATAATGTTTCATTGTATTGTCTACTTTATGAAGATATCCGGAACACATATATTTCCCCATATTTAAAAAAAATTACCAGGCAGATCTGATAAGTATTATTTCTACCTCCTCCTTTCTGATCTGGCAAAGTTAGAGCCAAGGCTGCAAAATTCTGTGCAACTGCATGTACAACAATAAAGTAACTGGAAAATCATTCCATCAATCATACTAGGAGCACTGCATAGATAAAATTAGGTCTTGAAACCATCCTTGAATCTAACAGACTTTGTTAAAGAGCACTGCTATCTGCCTTTTAATTCAAGTTTTCTCTTTTGCTTTTAAATGGCTGGCCTGTGGTTATAAAAAATGAAAATAAAATGCAAATAGAATCTCTCCTTCAATTTCATTCACTGAATCAAAGACACTTCCATCAGCAGAGGGGACATAACCTGGTAATAGTATTTTTCCTACATACATTCAAACTTATTTACATAAGAGGCATTCATACAGGCATTTAAATAGAAGTCAAGGCACTATACCAGTTCAAACTTTAAGTTGCTTTGTTTAACAAAGTCAACAAAGTTTGCACCAATGCTACATTTTTAAAAAAGCAAGGCATTTGAGGTCCCACTTACAAACATATGAGCTTTAATGATATATTCATCCTAAGCAAAATAAAATTTAGTTCTTCAATGAAAATTTGAATACATTTGAATGAAATACAACTTACATCTAAAGCACACCAGTCCTGCATCATTGAGATTACATGTGTCAGTTTCATTTGCAATGTGAATGCTGCTTCCCATTCTGGTTCCATTTCAATATGCTGCCCTACTTGACGGGTTATAGGATCCATACCCTTGAGACAGAAGAAAAGCATGGTGAGCTACTTATAGGTGGGGTATAAGAGAGATACGGTCACAGAAAAGAGAACAAAAGAAAGAGTGCATGTACCCCTTGAAAACTCTGTTAACTCCAGCCGCCAGCAGGATGTTCTACCACTGCTCTACAGGGAGAGGGCTGCAAAAAGCATTAGTTCTGCAGAAACAGAACAGTGACAATTAACCACTCCATTATTAAACTGTTAATTGTCACATTGTTTTAAAGTCTTAAAACCTTGCATTTTAAAGTATTCAAACTTTGTTAAATTCTTTTACTGTGGTTTTACTGATTATACCTGACTTGAGATTTGCCAATTATAGGCTGGGTGAGAAATAATGAAATCAACAAAAATACAGTATTCCTGCTCTTCATTCGCTCACAGCAACAAAATTAAATACTAACATTTTGCAAGATACTGGAAATGTAACAGAAATATAAAGAGGACCTCATACCATCATATTTGTTGTCCTACAGTAAGTATAATAGGTTTATATTTTATATATCTAGGGATGTTTTATGTTTGATTATGTTGTGAGCCACCCAGAGTGGCCCAAGTCTAGATGGGCAGTGTACAAAGTAAGTACCGTATTTTTCCGTGTATAAGATGCCCCCATGTGTAAGATCCCCCCCTCGTTTCTAACCCAACATTTCTTTCTTTGCAAGAAAGTGGAGGGGGAAGACAGGGACCTCCATTTTCTTGCAAAAAAAAGTGCCTTTCCCCTCCACTTTCTTTGCAAAAAGCTGCTTTTCCCCCACCACTTTTTACTTTCCCCTTCCACTTTCTTTGCAAAAAGTGGTGGGGGAAAGTGCTCCCTTTTTGCAAAGAAAGTGTAGGGGGAAAGTGCTCCCCCCTTATTTCCATGTATAAAACAATCCTCAATTTTTCCTCTATTTTAGGAAAAAGTGTCTTTTTACACGGAAAAATAAAGGAAGGATAATTTTTCCTTTATTTTAGGAAAAAGTGTCTTTTTACATGGAAAAATAAAGGAAGGACAGAAGGGAGGGAGGGAGGAAGGGAGGGAAGGGGGAAGGAAAATCACCTACCTGCATACACTTTAGCAACTCCAAGAAAACATCGAATCCTTCTAGAAATTTTTGTCTCAAATCATCTGTCCAGTCAAGCGGCTTGCTTATCAACACATACCTAGAGACAGCAAAAATATGTTTGTAACCTGATTTTTTTTCTTACCTATGTATAAGTATTCTGACAGATTAGATTAAAAACTCCTTACTTTAAATCCTGAATCAGGCTTTGTACTCGTCGGAATTTGAAAGCCTGGAGGGCAGTGTACCGTTCAAACTGAAACCGGCCCTGCACATCTCGATGACGTAAATGGTCCATGAATGTTGAAATGATAGTTGTCATGAGGTTTTCTTCTATTATTAACATTCGAGCCTACGGCAAAAATATATTTACTTTTTTTATTTCCACAACTTAGAAAAATAAAGAGACTAAGAAAGCAGACTATATCCCATTTCTGCAGCAAAAGGCATGAAAAGCAAATTCCTGAACAGGAAACTACCTGGGGGTGTGACTACAAGGCAGAAAAAATACTAATTGATCCGCTATGAATTTCCACCCAGGAAATTGCGTTTTCCTGGCAAACACACTTTAGCCAACTACACAGAAGTCAGTAGAGAAAAAGGAGGAAACTGGCAATCAGCCCTTGTGTGAAGCTTGTTATGGCAGCTTCTGCTACAGCCATCCAGATTTGCAGGAGGCACAGTTACAGCATAGCTGTCTTAACAAACTGCACAGAAGCACTGGTTAGTTATTTCATCCTCTCTTTGTCTCTCTTTTGTTGCTGACGTGTCCTAGTGCATCTTTATCGTAGTGCAGGCACAAAGCCTTAAAAAAAGAAAAGAAACAGCATTACTAGCAAAGATCTGAAGTCTCCTTGGTTATCTCTAAAGGCATCTGAGGGGAACTGCCCCCCCACAAGTGTTCTTTTGCTGCTGCTTCCCTACCCAACCACCAGCACCCTGCATATATGCATATACTCTTGTGCATCAACACAAGTGATCACACCACCTAAATTAATCTGAATGCATTTGTCACAAGAAAAGTAGAAGCCCCAGCAGTGAAGGAAAAGCATTCTGATGTGGGGGGAATTTGGGCTGATTTGCTTTGATTTATATGTTGTATAATCAACGAAAAAAATACAAATCTAATCATCCCAATCCCAGAGCAATTCCCATACTATTTATAAATGTAGTCACCCCCTGAAAATGTGATGTGTGTTACTTCCAAGATCTCTGGAAGACTGACTTAATATTACATTATAAATTCATGGCGATATCCAGGGGTTTTAGTTCTGATGACTGACAGGGCTTTACATATTGCTGACACAAATATAAAAGACGTCAACTCACTTACGCTATATCTATAATTTCAACGTCAGATTCTAATTATGAGGAAAACAATATCCAACATAGTAGAAAAGTAACTTATTTCCATCTCAACTAAGATGTATAAACAATGTGCACATTACTGAAACAAGAACAACTGTTAACTTTAATCTTTATTCATTAGGATTAAAAAAAAAACTCGTATTATGTGAATTCTTGGATATTTATTGACCCCATGAGAATTTCAACATACTGAAGATTAGCCTAAGGTTAGAGTTGCATTTGAGTTAGATTTGCAGGCCTGGTATATCCTGAACCTACTGCAAATTCTAGTCTCTTTCTTATGACAAGGGGAATTTTTAGACTCAATGGTTAGGCTAGGAGAAAAAACTGCCCAAAGGACAAAAATCAATAAATGAGACAATTTTATAGCAGCCATTTTTGTCTGAAAAGAAACAAAACAGAAACTATATACAAATGTGGCTGAAATGCAGGCACAATGTTTACAATTTTACAAGTGACAAAAAGTTATGTCTGCTTCTTGGGACAGATAGTCATCTATGAATCTGTTGTACCACAGCTACAATGTTAACAGGAGTGATTTTAGTTACTCAGTACAGTAGAAGTAATATTAATCTCTCTCTGCCTCCTGCTGGTTTTCTCCACTGCCTGTACTGTATTAGATTCTAATCCCTTTAGGGGCAGGGATCGGGGGGGGGGGTTAGCTACAAAATTCTGTAAGACTCCGCAAACTCTGGAGGCAACATATAAAACAATCATATGTTAAATCTGAACAGGAGTCAGAGCAAACGGGTTCATTCAACACTTCAGTACTTACAAGCGAAGGCACTGTGAATATCTGTACTGAGAGTTCAGCAATTGAGTACTCTTTGTCGTGGTCATCTTTCACAAAATCATTCTGCAATCGCTCATAATTCTATTAAAAAGGAGGCAAAAGAGGCAAAGGGTACCGGCTATCAGTTTTAAAAAAAGGCAGCACTACTCACCAAAGTAGGTACAGTGAAGAGTTGAACAGAGAGAGCAGTAACCGACACTGGCCGCTCGTGATCATCCTCCATAAAATCTCTCTGCAACTGCCGATAATTCTAAACAACAAGGGGAAATTCACCTCTAATCCGTACTGACTGGTTGTTATGTCCAGATTTGTTTGTGGTAGGGAAATTTTGTGCTCAAACTGCATTAATGCAGAAGGAGTGAAAAGCAAACGTGCTATACCATCACAATTTAACAGGCCAAGAATAAGTCATAGTTAGAGCAACAAGAATTACTTGTGTAAAAGGAAAAAAGCAAGCTAATTATGAATATCACAAGCATCAGTTGCTATAGGAAATACTGTTCTATTTAGCCAATATTTAGAGATCCTCTTTGGGAAGCAGTGCAATATGTAAGAAACTTTTTTTTATTTTTAACATTACACCCATAGTTATTGGGGGGGGGGAAGCAAACAAGACACTGATTTGCACCTCACAGAACAATATTAGTTTCAACATAAACTTTACCAGGGGATAAAGTAATGTAACTGTAGCTATTAAATGAGGGTAGGGAACTTGCTCTTCTACAGATGTTGCCTGAGAGATTCCCATCTGTCTCAGCCAACAGTCAGGAGGTTAACAACATCTGGAGGGTGGCAGGTTACAACTTCTTATTTAAAAGTCAGGGCCATATCCAATGCTGAGACACTGTTGACAGATCTGCTTCTGTCTACTCTCCATTTCTCCCTGCACCCCTCCTCCTTCTGCGTGCTTAAAACCTGCTCTGGAAGACCAGGCAACTCTTTAATGCAGGGATGAGCAATTTCATATCCACCCACCCTTGCAGCTTGAAATGCCACATCTGCCCTTCACATCCTGCTACCTGCAAAACATTTCTCTTTAAGAAATAGCTTTTTAAAATAATCATAAAAAGGAAACCCCTCCTCAGAGCCTGTACTAGCCATTTTTAAAAATCAACAAATATCTGGGGGTTGCTAGAGATGCTATGGCCCCCAAAGCATGGCAAAATTGCCTCTCATGCTTCCTAGATGGCACAAGGAATTCTTTAGTAAAAGAAAAAAGAAAAGGAACTCTTAATGCATTTTTAGGGGGAAAACATGGGGGCCTAGAGATTCTGGGGGCCAAATCAAAACCTTTGGCAGGCTGCGTACGGCCTGCAGGTTGCATTTTGTTCACATCTGCTTTAGGATAACAGAGAATGCTACAAGGTAAGGGGGGGAATCTACTAGGCTACCTATCCTCCATTAGTATGGGATTTAAACTATTAAATGGTTTTTAAATCATAATGGCCGAATTCTAATTGTTATTTCTAACTGGAGGAGACCCCATTAAAATCAATTGAACTCATGTAACTACTGCAACGGGTCTGCTCTGGACTAACAACTACCAAGAACATGCAACAGGAATTATATTATACGTCACCCAAATCACACAAGAATGTAGATTCCTATAGTTCTAATCCAAAGCAGTGGCATATTTCAGTGTGCACCAAGTGCTTATATACAAACAAGACACCACACATGCAGCAACACTATCACGAGCCCTTATGTCAAATCATCATTGTTTAGTGTCACAATTGTTTATTCCATTCACAGTGTTCCCATTTGCACTGTCAAGTACTTTTAACAGCTGTAAAAAGGTACTCACTCTTGCAAACCGGACAGCAAAAAGTTTCTTGTACTTCAAATCCATAAGCAGGCTGCTCATGAATAACTGATGGTACACGCTTCTAGCTCCTGTTTTTTTTTAATTAAAAAAAGATACAAGAATGTTATTTGGTAAGTTTCCATCACAGAAGCGACTCTTGAATAGTTTTAAAGCCTGTGGACTACTTCTGGGGGCGGGGGGGGGGGGAAATGTAACAGCCTTTCAGATAGGTAAAAACAGTTACAGTATTTGATCTCCAGGAGGAGGTCAGAATCTTATTGCAGGCATATTCTAACGGAAGCCCTGCAGTATGGTTTACTACCTATCAAGCGGCTTGAGAATTACAATCTCGGCTTGATTTTGCTTGTTTGAAAAGAGCTGTTCCCATCCTTAGATTTGTTCCCTCTTGCAATCCGCAGTAAAACAGAAGCTAATAGAGGCAACACCTGGGAATTCCCTTCCTGGACACCCAAAGTCTGTGTTCTCTTCCTACATCAAACAGCTTCTTTCTGTCTGATTAATGCAAATGGCTCAGCTTGTACGGAAAAGGGGTTCTCAGCTGGAGCTTGTTGTCTCCAGTTTTCTTTTGAAACAAGAAAAATTGGAAATAACATACCTTTCCAAAGTTTTGAATCAGACAGCATTAGTTTATCCACAAGAGAAGAGTTTTCTCCTTCTGGTCCTTCCTGTAAGCCAACCTGACAAAGTATTCTTCGAAGACCATCTAATCAAAAACAAAAAGCAACACAGAGACAAAAGAATTTTGCATTAATAATCAAATTCCATGCATGAGTGTGCAGTTCAATTGTATCTACAATATTTAATCACCATTATATAAAATCTACAATGACTTGGGTTTGGTAGTTATTTTATTGTTTATTCCCACGTTAGATGAAGATTTTTATTTTATTTTACTGTTCAATTTAGGTATCTTCTGCAGAAGGGCTAAGATTTCTGTAATTTTTATTATTTTAATGATTACTGTCCTCTGACCAAAATCCTTTGGCAATGGTATAAACATTTGAAGGCAAATTGCTTCAAGTGAAGAAATCTCTCTAGACATTATCTACTGTAACTGAATCATGTGATGCACTAAGCAGCAGATAATGTCCATGGTGATTTCTTCACTTGAGCAATCTGCTTCCAAATGTTATGCTGGCGTAAAAAGGCAAGGAAGTATTAGCCTCTTTGTTTTGATCCTTTCCTAAGCTATAAGACTTCTTTAGAGAGTGAGAAGTGACTCATACATTTAATAAATTAGAACTAAATACAAGACATTTCTATTAACTTTGAATTTCCTATTCACATGAATATCACTTTCCACAGCAGGTTGATCAAAGCATAGTAACGTTACTTAAAATGTAAGACTCCTTCAAATTCCCAAAAGAATTAAGAAATGAATGGTATTTAGGGAAGTTTTACATTTAAAACAGAGACAGAGAATTAACAGTCCTCCAAAATCTTGTTAGACTACTATTGCCACGCCTTCTCATTCAGTTTGGTACTCATGGGACCTGGACAGGTTCACAAGTTTGCCATTCTTAGTTTAGACGGCAGATCAAGTGACAGATCAATTGTTGCAATGTACAATACTATTGGGGTTTTTGTTAAGATAAGAATGTAACATCACATGTGATAGGAGATATCCCTTAATAGTTCTTCCAACATCTTTTTCTATGTGTTTTATGGCTTGTTTCTTTAAGGCAGCTGCAGGAGCATCCAATTTAGACAGGAGCTGCAAGGTAGTATAGAGAGAAAGGGTCCTAATTTTTGCCCTGAACTAATCTCCTGCAAACCAAACAGAAACAGAAACAGAAACAGTCACAGACTACTATTAGGTACAGGAGAGAAAAGTGATTGTGACTCTAGTTTTCTTTCCACAGTTAAGCATGATGAAAGGGCTAGCCGGTAGTGGGAAAAGAAATAGTTAACTCTTCATTTCCACAATTGCTTCTGGAAAATAAGATTTTGTTTCGATAGCCAAATATAGATCTCCCCTACATCACACATAGTTTGGCTCTCATGCTATGTATAACCATGACTCATAACTCAAAATCAATCTGACTACATGTTCACAAGAAGTACCTGATCTATAGACTTTTTGAATTTAACTGCATAAGAAAAAATGTGCTGTACATGTCACTCTATCACTCTTCTCTAGACGGATTTTTTGTTCTTTCCATCAAGGGATATTCCCTTATTTTATATTATATTTTAAATGGTCATACCTGAGTATCCAATAATGTTACCCAGCCAAGTCAGAAGTTTCAAACCAAAACTCTGATGGGCAACAATAGATGAATGCATAACTTGAACTTTCAGTGGCTTAGTCTGGCGACTGGTATTTCTCTTCAGAAAAAAGAGAATAAGAAAGAGGAGAGAAGTTATTAGTACATTTTTGTAAAACAACACACTTTTCATCTCAGACAATTGAGATCAACATTGAACCTTAGGAAAATAGAGTTTGTGAGTTCATATAAGCTCACAAACAAATATTCTCTAAAATATAATGACACCTGCACATTTTCATGTTGCAGTTATAAAACCACAACTGTCTTTGCAACATGAGGGTTAACAACCTCAGGAATATTTGACAAAAAGCAATGGCATGTATAGCTTCAAGAGAGGAACATGAACACAGCAAGACGCTTGCTGTATTTCTGTATATATCTGGACTTACAAATGGATGCATCTGCACAGGGGAGTAACTTATCTACAAATAGGAATCCTGCATCTAAGATTTCTCTTCTGACTACAGGAAATTTCAGTCTTCCACTCTCCATCATGAAAGTGGGCAAAAGCAGTCAAAGCTGCTAACCTTTTATTCACCACTAAACATGTCACAGCTAGAGACCACAACTGAGAAGATCCTCTCTTATGTCTCTTACATCATCACCAGCCCTGTTTCAAATAGAGGATATCTTGAGAAGAACCTCTTTAATGTGCGACCAAGCAGGCTGATATGAAGGGAGGCAATCCTTCATGTACTCCAGTCCAACCGATACAAGGCTTTGAAAACAGAACAGCAAACTGAATTGTGCTTGGAAATACTGTGAGCTGCCACAGACCTTTCAGTTACACCCTGACGTTCAGCCATTTTATTCTGGTTAAATGAAGTAGTTCAGCAGCTGGGTACTGAATTAAATTCAGTTTTTAAACTACCTTTAAAAGCAGCCATACATACAACCAAGCCTTGAAAAAGTTACTTGTGAGAACTGCAACTCCCAGAAATCATCATCATCATCATAGGCATCCTTCAGTCCGATGATGATGACACAATACATTAAGGAGTCAAATTGCCACTACTCACTGGTCATTATTTGATAGCAGAATGTACCATTTTTAAAGTTTCAAAGGATGGAATACTCAGAAAGCGAAGAAGACTAATAAGACACAGAGGTGTCTGACCACCTCATTAGAAATACATTTTATATTTCTAGCACAGTAACAGAGATATGCTACATAGGTAACAATTTCTGACAGAACTAAGAGAAAAGAAGCAATAACAACTTACCACAATCACTGATTTGGCTTGATCACAGTACTGAAAATCTCCATAGCGAACTGACCTGCGTCCCTGTTAAGGTTATATAGCCATATAAATGTTTATTATAAATATAACTAAAACTTAAACTACTGCATTTTAACGGCACATTGAATAATGGGTAGCTAACTGTAGTCTACATATGTCTAGTCAAAACCAAGCCCCACTAAGTTCAAGGGCTTTACTTTAATATAATTCTGCACGATTGCAGCCTCAGTCATCTGCATCACTGAATCTTGAATTCTACAATGCTGTACTAGTCTATATTAACTATAAGCATTGACATATACTAAATATACAAGTTATGGTACTAATTACAGCAAAACTTGTGTTAATACATATCCTAAACTTTAATTTACCACATCCAAGTCAGCTGAACAGAGGAATGTTATATTTATAATGGGTTTTGCACATATTTTTTTATTTTAATCACATATACTATAAATACAGCAAGTATCACTTGCAGCAAGTGCACAAAATTATAGAACTCTTCAGGGATTTCATGAGGAAACTGTACCCTATGAAGTCATCATGTCACTCCATGTAGTCTAAGTGGCTTGCAGGCATCCTTCAGTCTCGAGAGACTATGGTAACGGGCTCTGAATAGAGGTCTTGGAACAACATCTAGTGTGGCTGAGAAGGCCAATTCGAGAGTGACAATCCCTTCCACACTGAAGACAAATACAGTCTGTCCCCTGTCCAGCTCCCTGATTTTGCTGGTTTCGGGACTATCTCTTTGCCTTGGCTAAATATAGAGATAGCACGTTATCTCTGCTAAGTGAAGTGAAATGGGAAGGGCCATAAAGAGATCATTCATTTCTTCTCTTGAGGGAGAAGAAATGAAAAGGTTCCTGCTCATTACAGCAGATCAAGAAGAGTCAACTTCAAAAAAAGTACACAAAAATACATCAGAATCAATTAAGGGACATTTCCTTAGTCAAATCAGAGGAGCTTTTTAGTCTACAATCATATCTGACTAAAAAAAATATCTGCATGCAAGGTTCTTAAACAGTTCTTCTGTGGAAAAAGCCCCTGAAGAAGAGTTTCTTGATAAAAAACACATTCGTCTTTGTTATACTGTCTGATTCCTCTGAAACATAAGAATTTCCCTGATCTTTTCAAGTCCTGTATTGGTGTACTTCCTCCTGAAACCACACATACCACAAGCCACTTTCTTCTTGGTTTCAGTACTAGCTACATGTTCTTCATCATCTCAACCTGACCAAGAATTTCAGAGTGATCAATTTGCTTTTGAAAATGTCCCTTGTTTCAAGCTAGGGCTATTACACTGACAATTTGTCTCCTTTTGCCCTTGAACAGGGGCTAACTAAAACAAAAGCTCTGGTGAACAGCATAAAAGGGATCATGTACTTAAATAAAAAGCTTTCCTTTCTCAGAGATACAGTTATGATAGCTTGCAAACATACTAACAAAGAATTTGAGGCTGGGAAGATGTCCAACAAAAAGCACCCCAACGTTCACAGCATTATTTGGAAAGGCAGGGGAGGTAAAGAAGAAATTGCATGTTGACAAGTACATTCTTGGAAGAAAGTTAAGAAGGACAATTAGATCAGGAGACAGCAGGCAATTAACTATGTTTTAAAGCTCTGCAAAATGCCTCTAGGGTGGATTTGATTGATTTAAATCCCAATTTAAATTTAAAAAATCAATTTTTATTTAAATCATCATTTAAACTGTGATTTAAACTAATTTTTATTTTAAAAATATCATTGATGTTTATCCACCTGGTGTGTAGACAACTCTATCCTTCCTATATCATTTCTTTCAGCCATCAAGAAGGGAGGAAGAACCTATACGAGGACTAAATCTTCTTAAAATTTATCATTTACATGCACCATTTTAAGAGAAGTCTAAACATTTACTTACATCTCTGTCTACAGTAGTTGCAAAACCAATGGCCTCCTTTTGTGTACAATTGACTGCTTTCTGAAGAGTGTAAATAACCTGTTCATATGTGTGAACTTCATCATTAAAAAGCATACAGTAGTACGTATCACTCTTTTTGCTGTAATGACAACATTAAAAGTTAGAAATGTTATCAATCAAGGTATCATAAATATCACTTTACTGCTATATTTTAGAGTATGTATACAGAAATATACTGAATTGGACAATAGGAACATGGACAACAAGTGCCATGTGAATACATTTTCTTGGCATGCATTATATTTGGAAACATATTTCCGTTTCCATCATCTTTTTATTAACATTTGTTCATTTATTTTCTTTACAACTTTCCTTTTTCCCAATAAAGGGATACAAGACAGATTACAAAACACTGAGGGACAAAGACAAATAAAAACACAACAGCCAGATTCTTACTACTTATACCCAACAGCACAAGTCAAACAGTGTTAATTATTAGCATGAGCTGCTGATAGTTAAGAAGTCAGTGTTTGCCGACAAAGGTCCGCATAGTCAAAGCTATGGCTTTTTTTCAGTAGCAGTGTATGGAAGTGAGAGCAGCCATAAAGAAGGCTGACAGCCAAAGAATTGATGCTTTTCAATTGTGTTGCTGGAGGAGACTCTTGAGAGTCCCCTGGACTGCAAGGAGAACAAACCTATCCATTCTGAAGGAAATCAACCCTGAGTGCTCATGGGAAGGACAGATCCTGAAGCTGAGGCTTCAATACTTTGCCCATCTCATGAGGAGAGAAGACTCCCTGGAAAAGCTCCTGATGTTGGGAAAGAGTGAAGGCAAGAGGAGAAGGGGACAACAGAGGATGAGATGGATAGACAGTGTTATGGAAGCTACCAACATGAATTTGACCCAACTCCGGGAGGCTGTGGAAGACAGTAGGGCCTGGCGTGCTCTGGTCCATGGGGTCATGAAGGGACCTGACTTAACGACTAAACAAAAGATTGTTGTACATGAATAAAATAAAACATCCCCTGAAAATAAGCCTTAATGCTTTTTGGAGCAAAAATTAATATAAGACCCTGTTTTATTATTGAGGAAACACAGTAGTCATGTACTTAGTCAAACAACTGGTGTGTGACAAGAAATACAAGTTTGACTCTCTGTTAGCAACAATTCACCACAGTTATATACACTGTTTGACTTATGTCCCAAAGCATAAGCAATGGGAGGCTGGCCAGCAAACTCAACATTGAAAAAAATCAAACATACAGGCTAAAATTCTGTTGCTTAGTATAATAAGGTGCACTAGAGTAGGCCTACTGTATCAATGGGGATTTAGTTCACCAACTATGCTGTATGTTCCATTGATTCAAATGGGCCTACCCTTAACTGCAATTTAGTAAGCTAAAGTAAGTTGCAGTTAGAATAGGCCTATCTGAATCAATGGAATTTAAGAAGGAGTTGACGCACCAAAATTCCCATTGATTAAGTACGGCTATTCTAGTGTGATTTACTATACTAAGAAACAGGATTTTGATCAATATTATATTGAAATAACCACTGAATTAAAAGTAATGTAAATTAATGCCTATGAGCAGCCACCCAAAAGACTGCTTCTTGCTTTATCACCAGGCAAGGGAAGCCTGCAAAGATGGTAGAATTCAGAAAAAAAACTCCCTGCAAAGATCTTAAAACCCAGGGAGACTCATATGGGAAAATGTGATCCTTCAGATAGCCTAAACATTTAAGAATAATCTTAGCCACGTTTTGTCTAGCCCCGTTATGGCCCATTGAATATACTGCTAATTTTGCTTAGGATTAAAATGCCCAGCAAGTACAACTCCAAGGCACAGCTCAGTGACCGAGCAGAAGCTTTGCACACAGAAAGTCCAAGGTATCATCCCAACATTTCCTGGTAGGGTTGGAAAAACTCCATCTTGAAACCCTGGAGAGCCTCTGACAGTCATGGCCAACAATACTGGACAAGATGACTAAGGCTGTGAGCATCTGACTCACTATAAAGCAGCCTCTTATGCTCTTAATGCAGAAGTAACCAGTCACATCTAGGTCATACTGAAATTGATAGGTTAACACACAAATGCTTGTAACATGGTTTTCAGTACGACTAACAAATGACCTTTGGATTGCACATTATGTCATGATGAGAGTTACAATGTGATTATATTAGTATGAAATGTAAGTCCTAAAAACTCAGACAATACTTTTACTTACCCTGTTTCTAAACCTGGTGGCAGTTCATTTTCTTTTTCCCATGTTAATATATCTACAGCATATTGAAACATGATAGCAAAAATATTATAAACTTTTGCTATCATTTCTTCTGACAAGTGCACAAGTGGATCCTAGAATAAGACAGAGAGAAAAATATTACCACATTGTTTCTATTGCCTTGAAAAATAACTCGTTTTGTTTGAGTTGTGGTGAGACCTAAGAGTTAGTTTTAGAAAGTCCTAATTACCCCCATGGGTTTTTAATTAACAGTTTGTTCTTCCAAATTCCTATACAATATCTAGCAATTTCTTCCTTTTTGCCATTTTTCACATTGTCATTAAACAAGGAGCAGAAGATACATAAATAAGACACACAGAGATAACATTAAATGAAAGCATATTAAAATAAAACAAGAGAATAAAGGGAAATGAATTTTTTTTTAAATATTTTTCTTTTCTTTTGCCTAGGGCATCCAAACTACTGCTCATTCTGATTAATTCAGTCTGTTTATAGCTCCAAAACTCATGGCAAGGCCTTTGAAACATGTCTTCTTTCTGTAACTAAGGATAAAATCCTATGGTTGCTCGGAAGGCATCCTGGGTAGCAGAAAGAGGGCAGATCTGAGCTCAGATTACCCTTCCAATTCCCAGCTGAAATAATCATGATGGTATGGCACAAAAAAAATCAAAGCAGCTGTGGGATCGAGATATAAAAACTAAGGCCTGGTTTGGGAACACCTTAATTGGATGGTGGAAAGGTTAGAAACCAAGTGCATTGTTGAGTCTCAACCAAATTTTTCTACGGGATAGGTTTTATAAAAATTGGGGAGACCGAGGAAGAAGGCACCCAATTTTTAGAACATCTACATCTGACCAAGAATCCTGTAGGACTCTAAAGTCTCCTTTGTTTCCATCTTGATATGGTCCCTCTCACTTCAGCAGCAAATTCTGCCCACACAGGAGGCAACAAGCTCTTGTGATATAATGGTATGGGGAGGCCTGAACAATATGGTCTTGTAACAGATTCTCACAGTTTTCTTCAATCAACCCAGTTCTCTCAGCACTAAGTTTTTAAAAGCTATATATTACCTCCTCCTCTTCAGTTTCTGAAATGTTATGTTCATGCTTTTGGCAATAAGGACCTTCTTTCCAAGCTTCAGCATCGCCACAATCACAGAAACCTCCACCACCAGAAGTTGTCATCTAAAATATTATTTCAAAATGAATAAGAACAGAAAAGTATGCCTGTCAAATAAAAACATCAAATGGATGTACTCTGCACCCAAAAGCCAATAAATAATTTGGGAAATGGCAGAAAACAAAAGGAAGAAACTCATGTTGTACCACAGACAGTGAAAGATAGATAACTCTTCTTTATGTCTCATTTTTCTACATCAGGGACTCTGGGATTAGTTTAATTGTTCATGCAATCAATCTAGAAAATTAGACCTGGAGGCTGTGTCTTACTTCCCTCACCACCAGTACAAGACTGTATAGGCATCTTGTAATAAATGATAGCTTAAGTTCCATAATAGGAAATCCAGATAATTGTTGCATTGGACATCACATCTGGGTGATAAAAACAACACTTGGCTACCCAACTTTGCAATAATGTTGAGAAAGCTAAAGCCCCCATATTTACTTTTAATCAAACTAATGATGCACAACAAACCATCAGGATTTCCTCGACAAGTGGAACACCTCTGTTTATACAAAGAATAATACTGTGGTTAAGTGGAGAAAAGAGAAAGAAAACAGTTCCACGAACTGAAATGGAATTTACTACAACATAATTTGTTCTGGCCACATTGTAGCAGATTCTAAAACAAGACGTTATTGATGCCATACATACGGTACTATGTCTTCTTACCCTGTATCTATGTTCCCTGTGAACACTTCCCAGAAAGCATTCCATGCATAACACACAAGTTGGATCAACTGCACAATCCCTGCAGAAGGAAAAAGAACAGAAAATATGTAAAGATAAAGGGGTAAACATACAAAATGTTAACTGTTAACAGAAAACCTATAATGTAAACTACACATAATCCGGGATACTATCTTTTCCATTTTGAGCCAAGAATTAGTGTAAAAATGAAGTCATAAGTCATAGAACTCAAACTCACTAGTATTTTAACCTTCATCCAGGCAGAGGGGACATTTTAGTACTGCAATTCCATTTTATTTTAGAATTCACACAGCACTAGACCTATAATGCAGCCATTTAACAACAGAAGATGTTTGTTTCTCTTTCTTTCTTTCACTTATATGCTGCCCAGGTCTCTGGGTGACTTACAACAATTTGAATTTGATAAAGAGATAAGAACAATTAAAATGCAATTAAAACTACAATGCTCTAAAAATTGCCATCAGGACCCACAGTTGATATTATTTCAATTAATAATTAATAATTAATCCACGTGTCGATTGTGGCCAGGGACGGTATTGGGATCTTGCTGGGCTACTGTGCTCCCTGTGACCCAGCCATTTCCCTACCAGAGCTGCTGGACTTTGTCTCTGTGGCACTACTGGTTTCCCCGAAGCTGTTGGTTTTGGGGGGTTTCAATGTACATGCGGGGACAGAGTCCTCTGGACCAGCTCCTGAGTTCTTGGAGACCATGGCCTTCTTGAACATGTCCCAACATGTCACCGGCCCCACCCACGTGGGCAGCCACACACTAAACCTGTTTTTTTCCTCCAGTTGGAGCAAGAGCGGTCCGAGCCTCCCCAGGAGGATACCGTGGTCAATGGTATCAAAGGCCGCTGAGATGTCGAGGAGAACCAACAGGGACACTTTGCCCCCGTCGGCCTCCCTCAGTAGGTCATCGCACAGGGCGACCAATGCCGTTTCTGTACCATGGCGCGGCCTGAAGCCCGACTGAAATGGATCCAGGGCATCTGTTTCATCCAGGAGCGCTTGAAGCTGGTCGGCCACCACCCTCTCGACCACCTTGATTAAGAAAGAAACGTTGGCGACGGGTCTATAATTGCCAATTTCATCCGCCACCAAACTAGGTTTCTTCCTAATGGGCCTAATGAGTTGATAAATGTTGATAAAAACAACACTTGGCTACCCAACTCTGCAATAATGTTGAGAAAACTAAAGCCCCCATATTTACTTTTAATCAAACTAATGATGCACAACAAACCATCAGGATATCCTCGACAAGTGGAACACCTCTGTTTATACGAAGAATACTACTGTGGTTAAGTGGAGAAAAGTGAAAGAAAACAACAGTTCCAAGAACTGAAATGGAATTTACTACAACATAATTTGTTCTGGCCACGTTGTAGCAGATCCTAAAACAAGACATTATTGATGTCATACATACAGTACTATGTCTTACTAACCCTGTATCTATGTTCTCTGTGAACACTTCCCAGAAAGCATTCCATGCATAACACGCAAGTTGGATCAACTGCACAGTCTCTGCAGAAGGAAAAAGAACAGAAAATATGTAAAGATAAAGGGGTTAACATACAAAATGTTAACTGTTAACAGAAAACCTATAATGTAAACTACACATAATCCAGGATACTGTTTTTTCCATTTTGAGCCAAGAATTAGTGTAAAAATGAAGTCATAAGCCATAGAACTCAAACTCACTAGTATTTTAACCTTCATCCAGGCAGAGGGGACATTTTAGTACTGCAATTCCATTTTATTTTAGAATTCACACAGCACTAGACCTATAATGCAGCCATTTAACAACAGAAGATGTTTGTTTCTCTTTCTTTCTTTCACTTATATGCTGCCCAGGTCTCTGGGTGACTTACAACAATTTGAATTTGATAAAGAGATAAGAACAATTAAATTGCAATTAAAAATACAATGCTCTAAAATTGCCATCAGGACCCACAGTTTATATTATTTCAATTACAAACCTTCTGGAACAGAAAGGTTTTGACCTGGCATGAAACATCATCAACGTCAGCACCAGACAAATCTCCCTCAGGATGGCGTTCCATAGTCGGGGGGTGGCTGCCAAAAAGGCCCTTTGTCTACAAGCCATCCATCTTACCTTCTTGAGGGATGGCTCTTTCAGGAGGGCCCCCTGACTAGATCTTCATTGCCGGGTAGGTTCATATGGAAGGAGGTGGTCCTTCAGGTATCCAGGGCCCAAGCCGTTTAGGGCTTTATACATCAAATCAATATTGTAAACAAAATTCTCAAGTTTCAACTATTTCCCATGTACAGTTTTTTTAAACAACGGGGAACACCTAACTAGGTAGTATACAATATATAGTGTTCCACCAGGGGTACATTTTAGTCCTGATGAATGTAACATGATGGTCAAAGTCATATTTAGTGTAGTAAATCACACTAGAGTATAACAGAACTGAAGAGCTGGAAGGAACCCTTTAGATTATCAAGTCTATCCCATCAAGGAGGCATAGTGAGGGACCAAACTCCCAACCTCTGGCTCTGTAGCCGATACCTAAACCACTGAGCTATCGGAGTTAGTGAGTCAACTCCTCTATAAGTTCCACTGATTAAAGTGTACCTACTCTAATGGTGAACTATTATGCTGAAGTAATTTGCATTTGGAGTAGATCCATTTGAATCTGTGAAACGTATGGAGGAATGACTCACCAAATCCTCATTGATTCAGTGTGTCTGTGTGTTCAGTCATGTGTCTGTTCACTCAGTGTTCACTCAGTGTGTCTACTCTACTGTAATTTACCATTTCAGGCTACAGGATTTGTTCAAGTGGGGGCAAAGTGTCCACACACTTTACTGTAAACTATGATGCTGAGAAGTGGAAGCAGCATATTGTGGCTATCATAGGTTGGGTAAATGTTCCAGGGGTGAGAGAGATATTCAAATTCTCAGTGGGTTCAGGAAATACAAATACAAGATGACAAAACAGTACAAAACCTGCTAACCCTAATTCTAACCCCTATCCCTAACCTTGATTTTTCTAACGCTCATTATACTAGGATTCCCACGAGGTCAGAAAATACCTTAGAAATGACTTAATATAAGCCTTTTCCTTAATCTGCCTTGGTTGAAAACTAATATCAAGTTCAACAAAATCCTTGCACATAGCTTGTAGGACTTCACAGGAAGATTTTTTAATACTTTGGCACTTTCTCAATCAGAAGCCTGAACTAATCTGGGCATGTTTTTTACCTTTAGTGATGTTAACTCCTTGTTACACATAAAAGAAGTGGAAAATACATACATAATTCCTAGATCAAAACTTAAGAGGGTTGTAAAAAGGGGGGGAAGCATTTAAGATTTGGATAGCTTTATGCTAAATAAAGAGAGAAATTAAACATTTTTAATTGTCTTTTTAGATTTTACAATTTTTTACAGCAATAGTTATACACTCCAAAATTAAAAGCCATTACCAATGGATATTTAACACTTAATCATTTTGGACAGAAAATCCAGAAGTACCCCAACATGAAATATATATGGCTGCTATAAACTGACTTGGATTATCCCTTATCATTTGACCATTATGGTACCTGGCAGTTCCAAAGTAGGGATGGTGGGTTTAGTGGTAATTATCAGATTTTAGTCTTCAGATTACTGTTTCTTTTATCATGGCTACCTTTAATTATGGCCTACACATTGTTTTATATAAATAAAAATAACAAATATTAATAAAAACAGTGACTGATAGTTACCTGCAAGAATATGTAGGTTCTCCAACTTTAAAAACTCGGCCACAAAGATGGGAAGGTTTGTTTGCCTGCTCAAGTTTTTGGAAGCCAAATGCAGGATCTTCACCACACAAGTACCATTCTAACGGGCCAAGCAAGACAAGTTGTGCAAGCATATCTTCTCTATGTGGAACTGGATTAGGACCCCTACAATATATCCTTGGTACATAGTAGGCCAGGTGCTTGTATATTTCCTTAGGTAGATCAGATGACTGCAGCCATTTCTTTAAGACAAAAATGAAAATTTTAAAAAATGATAAAAAAACTAAAACAAAGGATTACAAAATTGTTTAATTTAAAAAAAATCTTCAAGAATGCAGCAGAGCAATCATATATTGTTCTGTATAGCACAACATTTACAAACTTACAATTGATTTTAATGTCTGCTATAAGTTTACCCAATTATATTTTAGCATATTCAAGTATATTTGAATATATTAACTTCCCACCCCCCTTTTAACAGCATTCCTCCATCACACATGGCATTTTGATTCCAGAAATGCAATTCAAAATATGCAAGTCCAAAAGCAAACCAGGTAAGTACAACAACTTGTAAGAATCTTTGCACCAGTCCTCCTCAAAGGGGTAGGTTTTGAAAAAATTAAAATTAAAAAAAAAAAAACTTCCAAAGAAAGGGACATTTACTAACATGCACAAATAAACCCAGAATCCTTTGTCAATTACTGGGCAAAATCCTGCTGGTGCAGTTCTGCCAGCGAAAACCAGATCAGGGTACCAGAAATACTTAAAGTCTCCTATTCTCCCCCCACCCACAATTTCTGCTTCATAAGGTCCCTAGGGCACTCTTTTGCCCCCGGGAAGACTTTGGGAGACTGCCCCCCCCCCCCATTTCTGCTTCATAAGGTCCCTAGGGCTCTCTTTTGCCTCCGGGAAGACTTTGGGAGACTGGGGATGGGGGAGGGGAAGGGAGGTTTCATTAGTAAAAAAATTGCTACTAGATCACCATTTGCACCAACAGCAAACAAGCAATTATTTTTGACTATTAAAAGCACACACACAAACACAACATTTATGAGGCTCCCAAAAGAGAGAGATCCAGTGAGCCTTTAAAGATGAAAGAGAGGGGATCGGAAGCTTTAAATCAATTTAAATTAATTCTTTCTGGCACCATAATCCAGTTTACACTGGTGGAACTGCATCAACCGAATTTTGCCCAGTAATTCTGGATAATAGATCCTGTCTTGAGCAAAACTACATTCTGAAGTGAGTACAAACCAAATTAAGTTTTCCTTTTTTGAAGGTTTCCTTCAATAGAATTTAGACACTGTTACTTTCAAGTCTGCTGGGGGGTTGATGCGGAAGAGTGAGCCAGGAGGTGTCAACTAGGGTAATGGATGCCTTTAGAAAGACACAGCTTGAAAGCCTGTCAGATCACTGCTTTTCTTTTTTTAAAAAAACTATAACAATTAAAAATAAAGAATAAGCAAGTGGGCTTTCAAAGCTTGCCAGGAACACATAGTGAATATACTTCAGTATGCCTAGCCTCACATAACCCCAGTTGCAATGTTTGGCATTTGTGCAGTAGTTGTGCCGTTGAGAGGGAAAAAAAGGTTAAATGGCACTGCACAACTGTGTTTAACAAGAACAAGGGAGGAAGGAGGAGATTAAAGGATCCTATTCGCCAAAAAGTAGTGCCAGTAACACCACCAGAAAACAATGTAAAGGGTTCTTTTAGCTTTGCTCAGATATGTTTAAGAGCAAAAACTGATAAATTATTGTAAAAACTTAATAAAGAGAACATAAGAACTACCTTGCTGGATCAAGAAAAGGTCCAGCTAGCCCAGCTGTTTTTCCTTCTAAGCACCAACAATTCTATTACCTCTGGGGCATAGAAGAGATGACAATCTTTTGTTTTTGTACACTACTTCGGCATTTCCAAAGATTATATGCAGAGTATCCACAGAACAATGTGATCTTCAAATCTAATACATAACTCAATCTAGCATCTCAAAAACTTAATCTACCATGTTTCCCCGAAAATAAGACAGGGTCTTATATTAATTTTTGCTCCAAAAATGCAGTAGGGCTTACTTTCAAGGGATTTTTTTTATGTACAATTTTTGCTATTTCTTCAAATACAGTCATGTCATCTTCTGGTTGCTGCACAATGCTGCACAATGGTGGAGAACGGGGTTTCACTTAACTAGGGATTAATTTTGGGGTAGGACTTATATTACAGGCATCCTGAAAAATCATTGTTGTTTAGTCATTTAGTCGTGTCCGACTCTTCGTAACCCCATGGACCCGAGCACACCAGGCCCTCCTGTCTTCCACTGCCTCCCAGAGTTGAGTCAAATGAAAAATCATACTAGGGCTTATTTTCAGGTTAGGTCTTATTTTCAGGGAAACAGGGTAGCATTCATGTTTTTAATACAATCAGCATTTTAAATGAACACTTGTAAACAAATACTGTCTCAGTGTCAACCAGCACCAGAAATCATTGCTCAAATAATTCACAACAGCAGTTACCCACCACCTGCTGCAATTGCATCTGTTTCCTTTCTCTTCTTCTCCATCTGCCCCACTAACATTCACTCTACAAAATTTACATTACAGGTCAGGCTTGTAAAAGCACAGTTCCTGACTTCTAGGAACAAGGAAGGATGAGGGAGGGGACTCTGTACAAACAAGTTTGAAAGAATCACAATGAAGTTAAGATAGCTATCTTTAATACTAAGTGGATAAGGCTGAGTTAATCATCATCATCTTAAAACTGCAGAGCTAGAAAGTACCCAATGGATCACTCAGTCCAGCCCCTGTCAAAGAGGCACAGTGGGGAATCAAACTGCCAACCTCTGGCTCCACAGCCGAATGCCCAAGCCAATGAGCTCTCCAGCAGTTTTAGACCTAACATGACAGAGCAGGGAAAGACTGGCAGTTACTGTATCATTCTTTTACCCTCTGGTGTAGTAAGGCAAGTTACACCCAACTGATGGAAACATTAAGTTGCATCTTAAGAATCTGATATTTTGTTGAATTTAAAATAATTTTAAAACCTGTCTCGCTTTGGTCAAAAATAAACGTAGTACTGAATTGTATCATTCAAAGAGCCCTACATCCAGATGTTAGCCCCAACTCTGCAAAAATTTTATGAAAAATGCAGGTCAGCACTTATACACTTCACTGATTCAATGGATCTACTTTAGTCAGACCAAGTCAACACAACACATCATAGTTGTGACAGTTGTGAGAGTTATATCCCACTTTTTCACTATTACTTAAAGGACTACATTTTAAAATGTAATTCATTCTAAGTGGGCTGATAGTGATGTGGGACAGCCTACTCTTAAAGTTAGCATAAAAAACACAGATATAAAGTAATGTACCTGTTGAAGTCATTACATGTATATCAAAAGAATTATTGACACCATATAGAATGGTTAACTGCAATATTTGCATACAAATCCACACTTTTGTTGAACTTTCGACCACTACAGGAATCAACTATGAATCTTAAAACTTCCATTCACTTAAAATTAATTTTGAATTTTGAGATGAGGTTTTAGTGCAATGTTCTCTTTAATGCCTTTTCAAAAGAAAACTTTGAGTATGTCATGAAAATTAGAATGTGTTTCCAAATACTGTTCACCCTCTTTAGAAACACACCAAAATATTTTGAAGCAGAAATACTTTACAAAATACATTTCTACAGAACAAATGTATCACTGAGAGTGCCAAGATATTTTTTGTCAAAATCCCAAGTCCTCTTTAAAAAAAACAAACAAGTGTTACAAAGAAAAGAGAATTACTAAAGAATACAACACGAAACTGATGGGTAGTTCAGTTTTTAAGAATGAAATTCTATATACACATCCTATTAATTCAGTGAAACTTACTTGTGAACAAATATTAATAGAATTGCACTTTTAATATACATTGCACTAAAGCACTATGTCCCTAAATTAGGAACATACTGTAATAGATTCAAAGAATCATGCTTACAGATGGAACATGATGTTTACTCTAAAAAAATAAACTCCGTGTTGTCACTGTAATCTTCCTAGATTTTAATTGCACGTGCAGCATGTTACTTGAACATTTAACTGTATAAACAAGTTCTTTCGAAGAGGCAGGCAGTTTTTTTACAAAATTCAACAAGCATACACATAAAATGCGAATACCAGAACACCACATTCATATTAGGCTTGCTTAGTGACTACCTACAACAAGTACCAATTACAAGTAGACATTCCATTGTACAAGATACATTTTCTTTCTTCTGAAAAGATACAAGATTAAAAGAAAGTAATCAAACTTTGTTCACTGCAAGAAAAAGGGCAGTTTGGCAGTTGGCACATATTCCTTCAAGTATTAAAATTTATACAGCTGAAGAATATAGGTTATTTAATGTGCCACCTTTCTCCCATGACTATGGCCCAAACTTTGTGTAATTGATATTAAACTGTATGTACTTATATAACTGTTTAATTTTTTTATATTCTGTCTGACACAGATAATATAGCACAATAGCAAGACTATAAAAATGTTTCAGATTGCAAGATGTCAACTCTGAAAATGGCCAGACTTTTTCATTGTTAGAGACAACATGTTTATGATATATAATTTATGTCATACTTCTGAAAAAAATCAAATTATTATCAAAACAACATCTGGAATATTATGTACATTCATATCAGTCTATACACTCTCCACCCTTCTAGAGGTACAACATTTTATCAGACTGAACATATGTCATAAAAGCATTTTGAAAATAAGAATGGGCACTACCTTTATTAGATCACTAAAATCTGAGAAACAGGCTAGCTTTTAAGTCTTTCATCAGGCTGGGCATTATGGTCTAATAAAGGTATCCCCTATCATTGTATAGAAGGAATACTCAAGGTTTGTTTGTTTTTTTAAAGACTATAAAATAATTTTGATCAGTGATCTGGCAACAAGGTTATCCTTCAAACTCATGTCAAAATCATTTCCTAAAAGGATATACTATGAACTTCTTACAAACTTGCTGCTCAGAGGGGGTCACAGGAGTAAAAATGGGTCAGCCGGCCAGCTTGAGAACTATAAAAGCCAACACAAAGATCTGAATAAAAGAAAACTGAAAAGGCTATCTCAAGAATGAAAAGGAGAATCTGAGCACAAAACTGCTGAATCATAAACTCAACAGTTCTCCCAAATGCTTACACAAAGACACAGCCATATGTCATGGAGAGCTTTAGGTGTGAAAATGGCTTCTGGCATTTCCTAAACTGATTTTAAAAGTGGCAAAACAAGAGAAATGTGAAATCCTCAAACATTCAAGCTCCTGTTCATACCAAAAGTTTATAAAATGAAATAAATGCAAATACATTCAAACCAAACGAGAACAAAACCACCACCATTTATTTTGAGAACTGATTCCTGCCAGATTTTGAATAGACATGATGTGACGTGGAATACACATGCAAATATGCTGATGAAATACAGGTGGCCTTCAAACTAAGTCGGCCCCAGCGAGTGAGGCAGTCTCTAAAACAAAACCCATTATCTGGCTAGTATGCAATCAGTACCATTGAAAAGGTGCCCTGTTTCTACTCTCTTGAGTCCTACCCACGTTCACTGTGACGAGCTACTTTTCTCTAACCCGCATCTTCTTGACAGTTCCTGGTGTCTTTTGGAACCGCCACTATCACAGCCTGGAAACAGGCAGGCAGGCAGGTCAGAGCAGCGCTTTTCAAGAATCTATGACAGCAGTCGATCATGTTACGACTTACTCTGGGCAACAACCTATTTTATCGACTTATTCAAGTCTCTCTCTTCTCTCTCCCCCCCCACCTCTTTGCTCTTCATAAACCATTCTCCCTTTTCTGAGCCAAGAAGTACACTACCATCCAAGAGTGCCTTCCAAACTGGATCACAAACTGCCCCCCCACTCGGTCCCCAAACCAGGGAGGCTTTGCCTCTCAGGGGCGACCCCAAAGCCACCGCTCTAACCCTCTCCCCTCTACACACTCTTTTGTTCACGTGTCTCCTCAACTCCCCGGTTCCTCTCCGCTGGAGACCCCCCTTCCCATCTTATACACCTTACTTAGCCTTTCCTCCAGCCTACTTGCCGCCTGCTTTGAACTGCAGCCCTCCTGACTCTCCTCCGACCCCGAGGAGTTTCTGCCCCAACAACGCCCAGGCATGTCCCTCTCTACTCAGACCAGACCCCCCGACAATACCCGCCCCCCGCAAAAGGCTTTTCCCACCTTCCCTCCCTCCCTTATTGACCCCACAGCCCCGCTCTCCAGGGTATTCCTCTTCCAGTCCTTTGCTTTTCCGCCACCAAACGCCGCCCGTTAATCCTCCCGTCTCTTCCCCAACCCTTGAAACTCGACGCGCGGCGGCCGTGGACGGCGGCGGGCCTCACCAAGGCGGTCTCCTCCGCGGAGCATTCCAATAAGCTCCTTTCTATAGCCTGGATCTCCGTCTCCAAGTCCGACGCCATCTTTTCCACCTCCTCTTCCTCTCCCTCCCCGCTTTCTCCTCCTCCTCCTCCTCCTCTGTCACCGACTAAGTGGTACCCGGAACCGGGCCCAGCCGGCCTCTCTGCCAGGAAAGCCCACTTCCGCTCCGCGTCTCTACCCAAGACGGCCCCAAGCCTGAGTAACCGCCCTTTCTTTGCCTTCCCCCCACCTCCTCGGACGGAAAAGATTCCGTTTCACGATGGCGCGAAGCACCCTGGGAGTTGTAGTCGTTTGGCTGAGGCGAAGGCGTCGCTGCCCTTCAGCGAGGTGACGTGTCCCCACTTTGAACTAAAGCGGCCCAGATGCCAAGTTGGCTGGCGAAGAGGGAAGAGAAGCTTTGGCTTGGTCTTTGCGGCTGCCTTGCCAGGAATGCTTCCAGGGCCACAGCCAACTGCATGCTTCAGCCAGAGGAATATATTGTGTATAAACTGGAGTGCGACCCAATATGCATAAGGCAGATTTTAGGAAAAGGAAATGGCTTGCTATTTAAAATGCTGACTTCAATACGCCTTAGGAATCATATTTGAAATCAGGAAGTTTTTTGGATTTCTGATGTATGTGTTTTTTCCCCATATTTCCTCAGTTCTTGGATATAAGATACACTCAATGAAACAGAAGGTTTTGGCTTAGACAATACAGTACGACCCCCATATACACGAGGAAATCATTCCAAGCCTGCCCCCCACAGATGCTGAAAACTACAAGTGATAACTAATGCTAAACACAACATAGTAAAACTCCAGAAAAAAAATGCATTTTCACCATGTATTTTCAGAACTGGCCACTAAAGAGAGCCAGAGACTATGCAATGTATTCTTCAACAAAATTACATAGCATGGTCTCTGGCTACCTCTAGGAGATAGTTCTGGTAAATACATTGTGAAAATACGTGCTTCTAGATTTTTCTTTTAATATTTTTAATATTATCATACTGCGGATAAGTGAAACCATGGATAATTATCCCATGGATACAGGAGCCCTGCTGTGCTTTTATTGGATCATTCAAAAGTTACAAATAAGTCAGGCTTTTGGGTTCCCCAGAACTGTTCATCAGGGAAAGACTGCATAAAATTTGCAGTTCAAGAAGGAATTCTAAATTGGACCAGATGTTATGGCCCTGCCTCATATAGGTAGGTTGCCACGAATACAAAATGGTGTTTTATATTCTGCATGAAACAGAATGAGAAATATGTTTATTTATAGGCTCACCACCTCCTTGATATCAAAGGCCCCCATCTCATTAAACATGGACATCTTGGCTACACTGAACTGCAACCTCTGTTTAAATTAACAACAATAATAATGACTGGATTGTGTTCCATGAATTTTCTCTAGCTTATAAAGCAGCGTGTGTGCTGCTTCCAATACAATGTTTCCTTCTGGAAGGATTTTTTTTTAAGTGCAGTATTGCAAAGCTTAAAAATAATACACTGAAGGTCAAATACATGATACAATTTGATAATGAAAAATAGAAGGTACAAGAACACATTGTCTTGTATCTCCAGTTTAAGCAACATTTAGAATGCCTCACCTTTTCTTTTGATGTTTATAATACTTCTTCCAATATTCATATAAAATTGTGTACATCTAAATTTTTGCCACATAATTTTTATTCATCCATTGTTAGCATTTCCTGTTACTTCAAGTGTTTAGTAATTAGTATGCTAAGTATAACCTATTTCTAGTGCTTTTGTAGTATATAGCTATAACTGGCCTATATTTATTGAGGATTAAGTCCTATTGTGCTCAATGCAACTTATTTCTAGAGAAGTATACAGATTAAATATCTCAAAGCAAAATAAATGTATTTTCAAATTACACAGATGAAACTGGGTAAGTCCTATAGGGCAATTTATCCTGCAGGGAGCAGCAGTGTACAAATTTCCAAATATACACCAGTTATACATAAGCCCTGCATAGTCAAGGTTATGTCCTCTTACATTATTTGCGTAAATTATTTATTTATGCAAGACAAACTGAACTTGTACTGACAGAAGACTTTATTTGTCTTATATACAGGTGGAAATAGCAGGCATGTGGGAACATTTATCTTTTTTCTATGAGTTTTTCCCATCCAGAAAAGGCTGAAGTAGAGTTTCTATGCACACTGGAGTAGAAACAAAGCCCACTGCAATCAGTAGGGTATATATTTATTGATTTGTTAAAATCCTGCCTTTCCTTTAGATGGCTCGTAACCAGCATCTTTTAATAAAGCAACTACAAGTTGACAATAATAAGATAAATAACCACACTGAGAACAAAGCGGGACTAGTCTACCAAGTCAGCAAGAACACTCCATTAATTACTCTACATCAATGCTGCCTTTATATGCCTTTAAAAAATTGTTATTGCTTATTAAGATCAACGCCCTGTATGAGTTTAGTAAACAACTGGTTACCAGTGCATAGGTTTGCAAATTAAAATGATGATGTCATGAAACCTGTAGTGGTTTAGTTGCTACATGTTCCAACTGAAGTTTTCAAATGCTTTTTTGATGGAAAGGTATAAAGCAAAATCCCACATGGAGGAGTTCAGCATGTCATTTTTGAACGTTTATAGGATTGAGTGGCACACATTTTCTGGAAAAAACATATATATATCTGTGCTTAACATGTTTTTTTCCAGAAAAACGTGTGCAGCTCAATCCTATAAACATTCAAAAATGGCATGCTGAGCTCCCCCATGTGGGATTTTACATATACTGTATTTTTGCGTGTATAAGACTATATTTTTGTGTAAAACCTTTAGACTAAAAATTGAAGGTTGTTTTATACATGGAAGTAAGCTGAGGAGAGAACAAAACAAGTGGAGGGGAAAGCAGGGATCAAAGCAATTCTGCAGCGCTTTTATCCCTTTCCCCCTACACTTGCTAAGCCCCACTTAGATTTCTTAAATTTGGATTAGAAAAGTGGGGGGGCATCTTATGCATGGAAAAAATTTGGTATATATGTAAGCACAGTATATATATCATTTTACATCATTTTAAACCACCTTAACTTACAGCAGCATCTTATTGCAAAGAATCTAGGTGCAGTTCCTGAAAAGAGCATTTCTCTGGGGCTAAAGTCACATTTTCTCAGGGTTCAATGTGCTGCTATGGGTGAATAACACATGAATAACACTAACTTGGTTGTCTGCTTTTGTGGGCAAAACAACCACAATAACAATGGTAACAGCCATTTGAGAGCAGCCACAGAAAAGGCCTCCCCTTCTGTGTGTATTGTAGGAGAATAAGCATGTCGCCACTCAAAAGCAACTTTTGGTTTCAGCCCTTTGAATTTCAGAATGATTGCACTTCTGCCTTTAAAAAGGAATTATGTCCGCACTTCCTTCTAAAAAAAGAAAAGAAAAGAAGTCTAGTGGAGAAGTATTGCTTGTGACAGGAAAAGTGACAGAAGTCCTACTGCTACTGGAAAATATGACTAGACAGTGAAGTCAGTCTGGAAAGGACTGTGCTAAACAGGGTCCCTGGAAAATGTAGCCTGAAATTTAGAACAATCCTTGCATCCACATGCACGGATCAGCTGATTTTAGCATACGTAGGAGCTCATAGCACACCTCAAAGCAACCCTATTTAGCCCATTTCTCCTTCTCAGCCTCCATACCCCTGTATCCTGTCTCCCGTTCTGCAGGGAGAAGGGGAAAAGCTGAAATTTTTGTTTTCATTTATTGCTAAGTGACATAGCACTGTACTGGTTTACCACTGAAGCGAAACAGGACTGGACTGTAAAGAAAAAGAAAGAAGGGGTAGATTCTCCTACCTCTTCTTCTGCCTTGGCTGTGGATAGCAGGGCAAATCTGACTTTACTTGCTTGCTTATTTGTTTGTTTGTTTATAAGTGACATATCAATTCATTGGTTTGCCACCAAAGTGAAACGGGACTGGATTGTAAAGAAAAAAAGGAGTGAGGGAAAAAGATCACCTTCCACATCATCTCCTGTCACCATCTCTACAGGGAGTGAGGAAAAGATAGGAGTTCCCCCCCCCCCAATTTAATGGTAAATGACATATTACTTAAATGGCTTGCTACCCAAATGACATAGCATTGAATTGTTGGGGAAAACACCTACCAGTGCCTCTTGGGTTCAATACTGGCAATCACTCATGCCAGAAACCAAACTAACATGGAGCAATCCTACCCCTGCTAAGTAAATGTACAGGAAGGCAGGAATAAGGGTAGGGCTGGTTCACAACTGCCTGTATGTCATATGGTCACCAGAAAACGGGGCCAACTAGCCCATTTCCTAAGTGGTAGAAACTGTGAGATAAAGCACCATCTGACTACACACTAAGTTGGAGATAGATGCCACTTTCATCTCTAGAGAACAAAGGAAAGACATATCTTCCTGGCAGGGACAAAAGAAAGGTATGAGAAGGGAGGATGGTAGGTCACTACAAGCTGGAGACTGTAAAGGACATTCTAGGAAGCCTGAGGAGGTTTTCTTTCTACCCTTCCCCATTCAAAAATATGCATCTTGTTGAATGTAATTTGAATTGTACCCAGTCATTTACAACAGCGATTCTTAACCTTTTCTTCATCACAGACCCTTTAAATATATTGTGCTGCCGCAGACCACCAAGACTTAACTCAAGATTTAAAACCCTAAAGTGCATCATGTATTGTTACGAAATTCACTGAGATAATATGGAAAAGTCACCAAAGGCAGTGCAAACATTCAGAGTCTTCCGAAATCTTCATCAGGCTACATGGTACAGAAATGGCACAGAAAAGTGGAAAGTAAGAGGAAAGTTTAAAATTTTGACCAGTTGGTCCAGTCTTTAATTTGCAGTTAAATTCAGTTACAAGATGGACTGAATGAGTCATTTGTATGTGTGCAGGTATCAGATTACACATGACAATGCATCCTGGGATTGATTGGGCTAGTTATGACCTATAAAGCCCTCTAAGGCTTTGGTCCAGGGTACTTGACAGACCATATTTCCCTATATAACCCTCCTTAGGTGTTAAGACCATCCAAGCAGGCCCTTCTCTTGGTACAATCTCATTTACAGGTGCTGTCCAGTATGCTTGACAGGGACTTGAGAGTAGGCCTTCTTAGTGGCTGCCCTCAAGTTGTGGAACGTCCTCACCCATGAGGCTAGGCCAGCTCCCTCTCTTTCCTCTTTTTGGTAGCAACTGAAA